ACAGGTTCATCCATTTTGCCACAAATGACAGGATTTCACTGTTTTATGGCTGGATAGTATTCCATTGTTTGTGTGTGTGTACAAGCGTATATATTCTTTTTTCTTGTGTCAAAGAGACATCTACACACCCATGTTTACTCTATCTCCCCATTATTTTACAATTTGATACATGAATCATCTTAGCAGAAATTCTAAGTGACAGATATGTGAAATTCCAATTTTATAAGAAGGAAATGAAAGTGCTCAAGATATATGTAGACATTCTGAACAATCAAAGAGTTTTAGAGTTGGAAAGGGCCTTAGAGATCATTTGATCAACTTTCCCTGGCCTAATCTCAAAAAGCTAGATTTGTGCAGGATTCCCTACCAGGTACTTTAGATTGGAAGAAAATCTACAGTGTTGGAATAGAGAAATGTGTTAGGATAAATAAGTATATGACATATATTTGGCTAGAGGATTGGTAAAGAAATAATTATGTGCCTGTATTTCACTAAGTTAGTAGAAACAAAATACATGAATCGATAGCTCTTAGAGACTGTCCCTGTCAAAAGTGTTTCCCTCCCATTGTCCCACCCAGGCAAAGTCTTTTTATATTTCCTGATTAGTTCTAATGAAGACATTTCAGTGCTTCATGTCCAAGAAAAAAAATAGACTACACTAGTATTTATGAATACAAGTGAAAATATACCCTGTAAAAATCTAAGAGGTCACTGGAGAATTCAAAGATGCATTTTATTAATAAATATAATGAAAAAGGTCTGAGAGAGGCCTGAGAGTTTAAAACTGGTGCTTCATACATTTACATATTTTGACTTTAGCACTAATTCATTTAATATTCCATGCAATGCTATGTAATGAGTATTAAGGGGAATATAGATAAGTTACATGCAGCCCTCCTTGCTATAAGAGGCTGTTGAATAAGGGAGACAGAATGCAAATCACTTTCAATAAAGTAAAAATGATACAATAGAAATATATGAAAAATGCTATGGGAACAGTTGAAGAACAACTAAGTCTTGCTGGGGGATGGAAGACTTCAGAGACTCCTGTAATAGTGAGGTTAAACATGAAAATCAGAAATCAACTATACTAAAATTTGACTTATATCTGTCTTTTTTCTATAATTCACAGAATTTAGGTGAAAAAGAAATTAATATAACAAAGAAGAAAACATGAGAAACATTTAAAAATTTATCACTAATTTGCAAGTAGTAAAAATTAAAAAATAAAATAAAATAAAAAACCTCCCAAACAAAAAAAACTATGCTTAGCCCCAAGCTAATTTTAAAGTATATCTGAAAGGAAATCCACCTTTGTTAATTAAAAACACAACAACAACAACAACAACAAAAAACCGCAACTAAGCTTTCCAGATTGGCACTGGAAGAATAATTTCTTTATAACGAAGGGGCATTTGAGCCACAGTCCTGAACTACAAGCTCTCTTTGATTATACTGCCTACACAACCCTGGCTGGGGTTGAGGGACAGGGTGGTGACCCTTTAACATTGGCCTAATAGTGGCAGAAGACTTTTCCTTGATTCCCCATAGCAAAGCTGAAACAAACCTGGGACATTCAAAACAACTTGAGTAAAAGGTAAAGAAAGATAAAATGAACAGAGAGAATACGATAATGTAGAGGATACAGATTATTACGCATCACTTCAGTTTATAATCCAAATTTTCAGCCACCACCACAAAAGAGTACCCTCCTAGAGACTCAGGAAAACATGTGAAGAGAAGGAGCCATCACACTCACTATCAAATCTCCACAGCCAGTGTTCTAGGTTTCTTTTCCTGGCTAAAGCTCTGCCTCTTCCCAGACTAAGTGAAATGAGAGATATTCAACCCTCAAGAGTTGCGTCATCATTCTTACAAAGCTCAAAAATAACAAAGACCAAAAAACACACAAAAAAATTGATCTCAATAAGCCTTAATACTCATGTGACATGTACAACAGGAGTAGACCTTATTTGAAATCACACATTTAACACTATGTTCTGAACTAGTGGTCTACAAAATTATTCAGGTTCATATAAAATAGTTAAGAATACTAAATTGGTTTCACATATTAGCACATTGAGAAAAACTTCAAATTCTGAGAAATAACTACTTTATAAATGAAAATATATACAGCAGGTTCTCACAGGGATTCTGTTATTACAACCAAAGCTGCAAACTGCAGTGCTTGTCTAAGCAATGGCTCTAGTAATTCTCCAAATATTATCTACTTTAAATAAACTCACTGAATCCACTTGTAAATTATTTCCCTTTGGCTGTGTCATTATTCAGTATGCTTTCAAGGAACATGGTGATGAAAGAAGAAAAATACCTCTTTCTAACATAACCATACTGGCAAGAACATCAACATTATCAGTATTCAAAGAATGTCTTGGCAGGTTAAACCTTCATAAAAAGAAGAAACACTATCTAATCCAAGTTATCAAAATAGCAATAGTACTTCTCATATTATGTGCAATACGATTGTTTGTTTCTAATGCAGAAGACAAAAAATAAAGACACCAATGTTGTCATATCTAGATTTTAAGCAAAGCAAAAAAAATTCTTTATAAAAGCACACAAAGAATGATGAAAGTAGGCATGTTTAAAAGAAAAAGGCTAAGAGCAGAGTAGGACTCAATGTTCAAAGAGATTTATAATAACATGTCAATACTATCTTGGGAGGCTAAAACAATGTAAACAATGTATTTTAACATTTTTGAGGTATAACAGCAATATTAAGAAATAAAAAAGTACAAAAATAATCTGTAGTAAGAGAAAAATGCTTAAAAATAGCTTGTTCTAATTCAGTCCATGATATCCCTGTGTAAGAATAGCTAATACTTAATTTTACTAAAAGACTTTCGATAATCTTATATGACTTTCATGGTATAATACCTCAGCATACTCTCCAGGATTTGAATTGCATCTGAAATTACTGAAAACTATAGAGGAACCTGTGTTTGCTCAACATGCGCACTGATATAGTGTCCTCCAAAAACGATAAAATGCAGCATGTTTCAAAACACTGCTTTCCACTCACAAAAGAAAATGTCTACCTTGATAATCTTACATTGGTTGTTTAGAAGATATATGTTTGACTTTAAATGAATAAGAACAACTGTCATATCATCTCAGATATTTTTGATATACTCATTTTCATTAATCTTAAAACAAGATTAAGAAATAATCTTGTGTTCAACTATTCTACTTTTTGACTCAAAACTTTTCTCTTTAGTGATACTTGTTTTTCTGTTACAAATATATAATTCCTATTTCTCTTCATATTTTACCCTTTTCATCTGTTTTCCCTTCCTAATTATGTCTCTTCTGCCTGTGGTCTTTTCTGGGGGATAATTCAACTTTTTGTTACTAAATGTCCTCTGGATCAAGTGGCCATGGGTTATTTTTATTAGCAGGATGAGCCTCTATCCATCAACATCCTAAGGAATCACAGCAGGATAGAGCTGGAAGGAATCTCAAGGTATCATCTAGTTGAGCTCTATGCCAGCAGGAATAGGTGGCTGACTGTTCTTAATCTTTTTCTTTCTTCTTTTTTTAAAAAATGACCAGATTTTGATCATAAGTAGTCTACCATGGCTTGGTTTAATAAAAACTCTTCTTGATAGTAAGTAAAAAGACATGGAGTAGACAGAAAATTGGAACAAAAAGGATTCTGACCTCAGCATTATTACTTACTGTAAAATATAAAGCATTTCTTTAATTGTTCTGAGCTTTAAGTTCCCCATACAAATAGAGATAATGCTGTCTACCTCACAAAGTTATTGTTAAGTGCTCTGAAACCTAGGAAAGAACTACATAAAGCAGTATTAAGATGGGAAGAAAACACAGTAGAGTGTAAAGAACCTGTATTCCACAGGCATACTAAGTTTCAAATCCCATCTCAACAATTTACTAGTTGTACAACAATGAGCAAAGTATTAAAAGTTTCTGAGTTCCGTTCAGATGACAATTGCAAAATTGATATAATGTCTACCACACTTGGTTGTTGCTATGAGGATTACAGGAGACTGACAGATATACCCAGCACAGGTCCTGGCATTGCGTAGGCCCTCAATACATGTTAATTTGGGATTTGCTTTCCTTTCATTAAATATCTCAAAGATGCCCAACTGAAATTTCATGAAAAACAGAATTATCAGAAAATAAGTAAACCTTTCTTTCCCCTAAGATTCACCAAGCAACAGATGAATTCCTTCCCTTATCAGCCCTGCTTTGAAAAACGGAAAGAAACAAGCTAGAGTTTACTTTAAAAAGCAAACTCTTCCAAAAAAGAAACAATTTAGAATAGAAAGAGAAAATTGTCACTAAATTGTGAAATCTTTAGAAGAAAAGAGTAAGTCTTACTCATCTTCATATTTTCAGAATTTATCATAGCACCTGGTAAAAGGAAGCACTCAATCCATTTTTTGGATGAAAAAGTCTATTGGGGGAAACACTGATTTTAGAGATTAAGAAATGAAAGGTTCAATCAGATTTTATTGGGCAACAAATTAAAGATACTCTTTACATAATAAAGATAAAACTAAACAAATGTGGGCTAAATTTTTGAAAAAAGAGCCTTTACATATTATCTTTGGGCTACTATGGCAAAATACTATAAACTGGGTAGCTTATAAACAACAGAAATTTATTTCTCGCAATTCTGGAGGCTGAGAAGTCCAAGATCAAGGCACCAGCAGATTCAAGGTCTGGTGAGGTCCCACTTTCTGGTTCATAGATGGCACTTTTCACTGTGTGGTGACCTCCTTGCATGGTGGAAGAGGGAAGGCAGCTCTCTGGAGCCCTCATGATTTAATCACCTTCCAAAGGCCCCCATGTCTTAATACCATCCCATTGGTGATTAGGTTTTCAACAAATAAATTCTGTGGCAGGACACAAACATTCGGTCCAATAGTCCATATCTAACTGATTTAGATAAAATATACTTTCTTTTATTATATTACATACCAAAAAAACTTATAAAGTATAATGCTTACCTTGTTATGTACAAAAACAATCCTCAAGTCAGGTTTAAGGACACCATAGCTTATGAGCAGATCCTGGACCTTTTTAATTTCATCTTTACATTTTTTAGCAGTTGAGTAAAATTGCTTTCTTACAGGTAAATTCTTAAATAATTTTAAAGCAGTTACAGTTGTACCTGTTGGCAGATAAGAGGAAAGCATTTTCAGATTTGGAAGAAACTTCACAAATTTTCAAATCCATACGCAATTAGTAATTAAGCCCTTCTATCACTGAAGGCCAGTCCTCCTCCACCTCTGGGAACCCAAAGAAGGCTCAACTTTGCAAACTATTCTGATTCCTTACTAGATTCTTTCATTTGTAACAAGATTGACCTGTGAAGTATGATCTCTTCTATGTTGTCTAAACAAACATCATCTTATTTCTATCACTGCAGAGAAACATAGGCTCACCAGAATACCATAAGAAATCTGCTGGTGTTCAAACCACCTAGGGATGATGTTTATTCTTTACTTTAAAATATAATATATAGATGGTATAAGACTACACACCATATGTGATAATATTATTCCACTAAAAATTCTTACCAGAAATAATATTTGGTAACCTGGTTTAATTTACCTCATCTTCAACAAATAGTCAAAAACATAGTATAATCTAACAAGATAATTTTTTTAACTTGTGAATTAATTTAAGTAAAAAGTTGAATAAAGGTATAAAAACTATACTGCTTTACTATTAGGTTAATAAATAGTTTTTATTTAAAAAAATAAAAATAAATAAAACCACCACCACACGAAATTAGAACAAAATGTTTGCCATGGCTACATAGAATAGGTCTGTGTTTTTAAAACACTGAAGAACTTCTAAAACCACTACTCACTAGCTAATCTCAGACTTACTAAACCAATCTCCTTACGTGGTTCTAATATACAGTCGGAGTTGAGAACCACTGTTTTGAGAAGCAAAAAAAACATCAAATTAGTGTAGGGTTCCTCAATCTTGGCACTATTGACATTTGACAAGACAATTTGTTGTGGAGGCTGTCCTGTGCATTGTAGGATGTTTAGTAGCATCTCTGGCCTCTCACACACTAGATGCCAGTAGTACCCTCCCCAGCTGTAACAATCAAATGTCTCCAGATATTGCCAAATGTACCCTGGGGGACAAAGTTGTCCATGGTTGAGAACCACTGACTGAGTGTACAGCAACTAGCATCTTTTTTCTTTTTAAATAAAATAAAAAGATAGAATAGACTAAACTACAAGAGAAAATAGAGTGCATCACAAATGTTAGGCTACACAGTTCCATGAAATTTTTGTTTTGATTAGATTTATGTGAACTGGGTGCTACGTGAAATGTATTTATTACTGTGAATCAGAGTCAAAAAGCCTAAAATTTGCTATAATAGGTCAATCATTGTCCTACTCTTATAACACAGGGCAAAAACACAGAAATGGCAATTATAAGGGAAATACAGGACTCAGAATCTCTAGCATAAAATCATGAGTTCCAAGAGAAGACAAAGAAACAAATAGAGATGTAATTAAATAAATAATAGAATAAAATTTTCTTGAATGCTTATTTCAAGAGCTTACTTCATTATAAGGAGGAATATTTAAAAAACAAAAGAGAAAGAAACCACATCCACTAGAATCCTAAATTTTAAGGACAGGAAAAAATTTTATCAACTGTCAGACAAAAAGTACAAGTTTCTTACAAGACAAACATCAAGTTCTTAACCTATTACACTAGAAGATGGACAATTTATAAACTATTAAGTGGAAATTAAGAAACCTACACCCAGTTAAGGCAGGTATACGGGCAAGATGAAGACATTTTAGGACTTGCAAGGGTTTGGCAATATACAACTCAAGTATTAATATATCTGATGAAAATAATAAAAAGATGAACTCTAAGCAAATGATAATTACATCAAAATAGAGATTTTATGATCAAAGAAGATAGAAAATAAATTTGGTGAGCAAAGAATCTTAAAAGCTTAAAGTACACAGAAGATGGTAATATGAGTGGGCTTAGCAACATAACTGTTAAATATGGATTCATGAAATGAAAGACATACAATACAGAGAAAGCCTAACAGTAGCTTGTAACTCAATGTTTTAAACTACTATGAGGGCTGGGCTTGGTAGCTCACATTTGTAATCCCAGCACTTTGGGAGGCCAAGGCAGAAGGACTGATTGAGGCCAGGAGTTAGAGAGCAGCCTGGGCAACATAGCAAAACTCCATCTCTAGAAAAAAGAAAAAAAACCTGGCTGGGTGTGATGGCATGCACCTGTAGTCCTAGCTGCTTGGGAGGCTGAGCCAGGAAGATCGCTTGAGCCCAGGAGTTGGAGGTTGCAGTGAGCTGTGATCATGCTACTGTGCTCCAGCCTGGGAGACAGAGCGAGACACTGTATCTTAAAAAACAAAAACCAAAAAAATTCTATTATTAGCTACACTGGTTAACTGGAGAAAAGAGATGGGAATGAAGAGGTATAAAGCTTAAAGGGCCCTACATAACCTGGCCCATGGCTATCTCCCGCTTACCAATGTCTTTCATTTTGCTCTTCTATAATATCAGACTTGTTTCCACCTCAGGGCCTATGCATATGTTCTCACCCTACTCCCACCCTCTGCATGGCTAACTCCTTTATCAACCTTCAAATCTCAGCCTAAGTATCCTATCTATCCCATCCTAGACCATCCCTAAGAGCCCTATCAAAGACAGCTACTTCCAAATTGAAACTATGTTTTATCTCTTCATAGAAATTGTTACTACTTGAAAAAACTTTCCTCTGCCTCCCCTTTTAAAATATGGTAAGTTTGAGGGCAAAAGATTATCTATCATGTTTACTATTATATCCCTAGCACCTGAAACAATGACAAATACTCTGTAGGCACTTAAAAAAAATGTAAAATGAATGAAAGCATTGCAGGAAGAAAATAAGAGAAATAGGTAAGAAGTATGTATTTATTTGGACTGTTTCATTATTTATGGAACCTTTGTAATTTTTGAAAGGGAATTTTCTAAAGAAAAAAAAACAAGATTAGGAGAAAAAATATCTTTGTAGAAAAGACTAAAGGAAAAGCTATACTCCTACTATGCTCACACTCATGTTTTTCTGCCTCTTTTTCTTGATTTAGTGCTTCATTAGCATATTACATTACTAACAAATTTTGGGTCTTTTTTGGTCTTCCTCTATTTTTAGGTAGGGTATTTCCTTGGCCTAATTGTACACATCACTTCCACAGATAGGATTAAATTCCTTGGAACACCATGGTATTCTTTGCTACTCACATTTTGGTGCTACTATTTTTTGTCATAAGAAAATAAAAAGGCCACTGCCAAGGTTTAGAGCAAATGTTGACAAAGATCAAGGAGTGCATGTATTTAGCGATCAGAGCAGGTATGCATTCTGCCTCCCCTGCTACAAGGGAGGACACACTCAGATCAGAATTCATACCACAACCTAGTCACAGAGACCTCTTATGCCTTCTTCTTATTGCATTTTGTTCTCTCTAGATATTTCCTCCATTCTCACAGCTTCAACTACTATCCACACACAAAAGACTGTTTTCATGAAAGCTATAAAAAGCAAGATACCTTTATGAATCTCTAAAAAAGAAAAACACTTCCAATGAAATCATGATACAATGCCTTAACAGCACCTGACTGACACAGGAAATGGTTCTCCTAGCCCCTTACTGCTTTGAAATCTATCTACCTCCATGAATATAGCAATTCCCTCTGGTGTCTTCAATTTCAATGCTTTCCATGTGATAGCCAGCCATTCTTTTGCACTTAACAACTTTATCTACTTGTGGCTATTTTCCCTTTTAAGTTTCATAAAGCACTTGTTTGTTGCAATAAAATATGAAATTGTTTTTTTTCCTTCAATTAGCACATGAATTATCAATATTGCACAAAACTCAACTGATTTAACAATAAGAACATCCATGACTGTTGTCTGTCCAAAAAGAAATCTGGGAGTCCATTAATTATAAGCCACAATTTGTTTTCAGAAACATCAAAATGTGACAAGATGTGCAACTTAGAATTGATTAATTCAATTGATTAATTAATTAATTTCTGATAGTCTGGTGGTTAGGGGGAAAAAATTAATAGACATATATCTGAGACCTAAGCACTCTTTTATGTACAGATGCTGACTCAATATCCCCCCCCCCAGATATCCCCAAGCCACTTTAAATCAACCAGACTTGAACTCATTACCTTCCTCCTTGAGTCTGATACTACATCAACAATTTCCAATGGCAGTTACTCCAGATTTAATTGATTTTCCCCTTTGCCTCTTACTGTAATACTGTATAACTCACATAGGCCTATCTATTCTATCCTAAAAATCTCTCTCAGATCTATGTCAAGTCCCTTCCTTACACTCAAACCTTAGTAGTTCAAGATAACAACTCTTACAGAAAGACACAATTTATGGTAGGAATTATGATGTCCTATCAGTTAATTTTGTAAATAGCATGAGACCAATCCTCTGCCTAAAAACGTTTCAATGTCTCACTGTTGAGGTAAGGTACAAACTCCTTAGCATGATATAAAAGGGCCTTCATAATCTAACACCCAAGCTTCCATTTTCTAAACTAAGTTTTCTGCTTCAACTACTCTCAAATCCTCTCATTGAACTCTGCCATGCCATTCTTACTATTCCATTTTATTTACTTTATTGGCTTTTTAGCTATACTTCTTTGTATTACTTTTAGTGGTTACTCTACAGATTATAATATACACTCTTAAATTATCAATCTACTTTGATTACTATGAAATGAATTACTTTACAGTGTAACAATCTTACAATAGCATAATTCCATTTATTCTCCTGCCTTTTAAAATATATTTGTCATGCATTTTATTTCCACATTATAAATGCCCCAAAATATTGTTTTTGTAAAATAAATTTCTTAAAAATTTAGTCTTTTAATTTTTTCCCACACATTTTCCAATGCTATTCTCTCCTTATTGCAGATTCAGGTTGCTATCTGGAAGCATTACCCTTCAGCTTAAAAATCTTCCTTTAGTATTTCTTGTAGTACTTGTCTGTTGGTGACATATTCTCTCAGTTTTATTTGTATTACATTGCCTTCATTTTGTTCTAATTCTTTAAAGGACATCTTTGCTGGTAATAAAATTCTAGGTTGACATTTTTTGTTTAAATGCTTAAAAGATGTCATTCCATTTTCTTTGGGCTTCTATGTTTCTGATGAGAAGTCAGCCATCATTCTTGTTCTCCTGAATTCAATATATTTTTCCTCTTACTGGTTTAGTATTTTCTCTGGTTTTCAGTAATTTAATGATGATGTGTTTACCTGTGGTTCTGTCTGTATTTATTTCACCTGGGGTTCATTTTGTTCCTTGAGTCCATGGCTTTATGTCTCTCAACAATTTTGGAAAATTCTCTTGTCAGATTTATTGTTCTGCTTCAGTCTTTCTCTTTCCTGTCTTTCTGGGATTCCAGTCACATGTATGTTAGACTGTTTAATGTTGTCTCACAGATCTCTGATGCTCTCTTCTCTTTTTTTCATGCTATTTTTTCCCTGTGCTTCAGTTTACATCATTTCTATTGACCTCCCTTCAAATTCACAAATCTTTTCTTCTGCTATGTCCAGTTTGCTATTAAGCCCATCCAACGAATGCTTTAGATATAGTACTTTTTTTGTTCTAGAATTTTCAATTGGCTTTTTGTTTCCATTTCTCTGCTGAGATTCTCCAGCTTCACACTGATTTTGACCACTTTCCCTTCTAAATTCTTTAACATTATTGTTTTTAAAGTTTTCATCTTTTAAATCAAACATCTGGGTTATCTTTGAGTTTGCTTCCACTATTTTTTTCTCTTGATTATAGATTCCATTTTCCTTTCTTTGTGTCTCTCCAAACTTTTTTTGCCATTTTTGTGTAGAAAAGAAAAATAGATGCTGAAGAAGATATTCTTTCCTAGAGAAAGTGCTTTGTTTCCTGTTAAGCAGCTAGAATGAAGAAAAGATTTTTAAACCTAATTAGGAGCTTATCTGAGTTGTGGCTGAATTTCCCCTTTAGTTCCAGTTCACCTCTAGTTTCAAAAATGTTTTGAGGATGGAATCCGATCTCTTCCTCTAGTAAGGCTTTAAGATCTTTCTTTCTCTAGCTCAGTCCCAACTTTCTTCATCACTGAAGTCCTGATGAGATTCAGTGCATGGTGGCAGTCTAGGTCTGTTTGAGGCTCCTATATCCCAATCTGTCATGTCAGGCTCCATGTGGCTATTAGAAGTTCAGCTAGTTTCTTCTACTGTCATAAAAGATCTCTTATCTATAGCAGGCCTGCTCCTTTGTCCACCAATGCCTCCATACTCTGTAAATAGTCCCAGGAATGCAAGTGGCCACTGGTCACTTCTTTACCAGGAAGGGGTAGTCTCTCTTGAATTTAGTTCATTTAAACTTCTCTGTGACACAGTTCTTCAGTGAGTTTACAGAAGAACACAACTTTTTAAAATTGTTTTTTCCCCCTTATTGCTACGCAAAGAACAATGGTCTTTTGAAATCTTCTATATCTATCATTCTTCTCTTGCTGAAATGTTATACTCATTCCTTCTTACCTATCATCTTCACACTCCTACCATCTTCAAACTCAAATGTCATCTTTTGTGAAAAACTTGTTAACCTCTCTCTAGGCAGTTGGTGGCTTCATTTTATTGTCATTATTTATTTATTCAATCTGTGTTCCCCACTACTGAGTTCCTAGATGACAAATATAATGGCATCCACTATAGCTGTGGACCAACAGAAGGCAAAAATCAAGAGGGAAAAATAAAATGTGTATATAAAAGTAAAAAAAGTCATCTGTTTACTTTTAAATATATGTTATGCGTCAAAGACCATACTCTATCTAATCTACATATTGATAAATTATTGCTTTGGCACCTAAAAATATTCTCTCAAAGTAAATTGAGAATTAGTAATAAGATGAGAATTACATGTTTGAATAAAACAGTGGTGGAAAAGACTTTTCTGATTCCAAATGAAATGTGTATCCTTAAAAATAAAAGTACCAAGTAATATTAGTCAATAGGGAGGAGGCCTCATTATACTATCATATTTTACAAGACGAGGGCTCAGCTCTCTAACTTTAGCACATTCTACAAACACCAGAATTAAAATGCAGTCTTGTGATATGCTCCGTGTTATATTTTTACATGACCCTATGTTATGCCATTTATAAAGACAGCTATTTATATACCTAACATAAAGGTATGGTTCCTTGACTGTATCAGAAAGCTTTCTTAAACTATTTAATGAATAAAAGTTCCATTCTTAAATTTAGATGAAAAGGTCTTTTAAGACATGCACAATCACCAATAGCAAGAATTTTCAAAGAACATGATGCTCTACTCTAATAACAGAGTAGGGAAAGGAAATACCTTGATCAGAGAAATTTAAATATACTACTTTTGATATCTGAGAAATTTCTAGGTCAGAAGTACTAGGAGGCATTAAAAGGATTTGTCCAGGAGGGTAAATCAATTTAGAAAACTTAATACATATTATCTTGGGTAAAGAGAAGTGACAACAGAAAAAGATATGACAAAAGCAAACAATGTAGTCAGTGTTCTTGGTAAAGAATTTAAAAGCTGGAAACTTATTTCTTTTTAGTTTCGAAAAATGTTTTAAAATGGAAATGAACAGAAGATAACGGCAATTAAAACAACATACTGTTAAACACATAAATCATTTGAAATGTTTAAATTAATCCATTAAAAAAACCCACACCTAGAAAAACCATAGCTGGAATTTCCAGTAAACTTTTTAAACACTTTAAAATGTTTTTTAAATGGGCAACAAATTTTCCAATGCCTAAATAAAATTTTGTTGTAAGCTGTTTCTACATTTACAATTATGCTATCTATAGGTGACATCCTATCAGATGAGATGAAGATGAACTGCAAAGCAAGGATGTTCACACCACAGCAGAAATTAATCCAAGAACTCTAAATGTACAGGTATAAATTAGGATAGTTGAACTGTAGTTTTATCTTACACAGAAAATATTTAAATGGAAGCTGAATGACAGCTGGTGAAATGTGAGTCTGTGATTCAATCACTCAAAAACTATCAACACTAAAGCAATATAAACGTAAAAGCCTTTTGAAAGTGTTTATAGATTTCTATAATATGTCCATCTAGAGCAATTTAAAATTAAGACTTTAATTTTTTGTTTTCCTAACCAATCAACAGTAATTAGATGAAACAAGTGAGTTATGTAAGGTTAATTACTAGTTTTATAACTACTAATCTCCTAAGTATGTTGCTTCTTAAGATAAAAGGAATATGCTAAAGAAATAAGTTTCATTCATTGACTACAGAAATTTTTTAATATGTATACCTGTTCTCATTTCCTAAAGGTAGAAGGCTGAAGTCAGCAGGAAAAGAAAAATCAACCAGTGAAAGGGCAAAGATCAGATGGATTCCATATCTCAGGATTGTTATTTCATAGTTCCCATGGAGATGAATAAAGAAAAGCATGAGAAGTATGAGTGATGCAGAGCCACTGGCCATCCAGATTAGACTGCTTACTACTAAGATAAAAATAAATACTTTTAAGTTTTATAAGGCGACTAGATTACTTCAAAGTAGTCTACTGGAGAGCTACTCAAATACCTCCTAATGGTTTCCTAATTTGAATTCCTAAGAACTGAGCTCAGAGTATTTCTGGAGAGGGTTTGTCCTAACCTTCAATACGTAGTAAAAAGGATTACAATCTATTATTTTTAATTAAAATATACACAATTTTTATTATTATACATCAAATTAAATAGCTATTAGACTTGAATTCATTTTCATTAACTGAACAAATGAGAAAAAACTGAGTGTTTTCTTAGGAGTTTCTATTAACTCTTTCCCCTAGGTGGATACAAAAATATTAATCCCCAATGGGCAAAAGTAACGAGTAACAAAGCTAAGGATTTATAAAATAAGAAAAAGAGTGAGAGAATCTGGCATCAGTATTAAGATAACAGAAAATAACTTCAATGAAGACAAAAGTCATTTGGAAAAAAATCCAGTAACATTAAACCTGGAAGGAGAAACCACAGAAAATACGTGGCGGATACTTTGATAAATTACAGTGAGAGACCACAAAATTAAACATGAATATATGATACAAACTGGAGGAGGAGAAGGCTAAACAAAAAACTCAAAAAAGCCTTTTTGAGACCTAATAATTCTTTTGAACATGATTTTAAAGAGACCATACCTTTAAAATTCTTTTAATCATCCTATTATCACAAATTAGTGTGAAAAAGATTAAAGGAGATATGTGAAACTCAAGCCTAAAGAGATATTTTTTCCCTACAGAAGTAGTTTTTAGAAAAACTTAAAAATGTAAGATGCCAATTAAAATGTAATAAAATTACATAAAAGGATATAAAACACCATTAACTAAATAACAAGCAGCAAGAATAATTAATATATTTATTTGCTTCAAAATAATATGGAAAGGGAAGAAAGAGGTAAGGGTATTGGAGAAAGAACTTTAGCAATGAGTTGATAATTGCTGAAAGTGAGTGAAGAGTACACTATCCTATCTATTTGTGCATATGTTTGAAGTTTTCCATAAATAAATATATTTTAAATTATTTAACCATAATATTAATATCTTCATGATATGGTTTATTACCATTGTTACGTTTGAGGTGTTTCAATAAAATAGTATACTTCATATATGAAGATACTGGTGATGCAGCACAAGTAAAATGAATACTCTTACTGTTTTTATAGAAAAGCAACTTGTCCACTGAGTTGTTCACAGTCTCTCACATCAGACAGTTGAGAACAACTCTAAATATTTAAGAGACTGATGACTAGAGTAAAGGCTGAATGTTCACCTGGAATTTAATTAGCCTTTATCAGATTCAAGCCCAAACCAATACATATAAATTTGAGGAGTAACACTTTTTTAAAACAAATAAGCCAAAAAATAAAGAAGGCTACAAAGCTACTCTCTTACCTTGACCTAGATGTGAAGGTTTTTGAGAAAGTATGTGACCACTGCCATCTAAAACATATTGGGTGCTAAAATTATCAGCAGCCGTTCTTGTTGTAATTAAAACCTGGAGGGAAAAAAAAAAACCCTCTAATAAAATTATCATTTTAGATATTCCATGGGTTCATTATCAAATTAGATTTAAATAATTATCACATAATATGTTTAGTTAATATTATAAACAGTTTTACTTGGTAAATTCTTATATCTACTTCTTTTGTAATATTCCTTAGTTACACTAATAGCAAGAGGCCAGCTTGTATTTTTCCTGTTGCAATTACTGCTTTTTATTTCAAGTATTTTAATTAAAACACTCATACACAAACCAGTATACTTGAAATGGCTATATATATTATATATATATATATATATATATCATATGACATATGTGTAAAAGCAAATACTTCAACTGTATTAGGGGAGCTTGCTTTTTAACAGACTGTTTTCCATAAATTTGATGGCAAATGAATAATCCTTCGGTAAAGTAATCATTCCCTCCCCTTTGTATATTCTGTGTAAAAACTGCACTTCTGTATTTCAAGTTTATGGTTCAAAAAAATAAAATTTAAATCATACATATATATATTCATGGACAAATTTTTCTTAAAACTAGGCTTTAAACTCATTGTTTAAGTGTGAAATTTTTATTGATTAAAAAACTTTAGCATTAAAATGTGTAAGCATAAGAAGAGATTTCATTCAGCATGCAAATACTTCTTCAGATATTAGTCATAGAAATATAAATTTAAAGTGCCTGTACTCTTCTGAGTAATGCTCATCCTTAGCTTTCTATTTACCTACCTCATGAGATGAGTCAGAAAGTAGAATAATAATAAAATATACCTTTGTTAGAAAAAAACCCAAAGGTGAGGAATGGGGATACTGGCAAAGAAAACAAGGTGAACTGGGAAGAAGACAGCCTCCTCACACATCTGGTGATCAACGACGACCCAAAATTGACAATAATCTTTCTTGGCCATCCTTCTGCTCAGGAGCTGGAACTCTTCTGGAGTCAGCTGGGTCTACATTTGATGGTTCTGTCACCCTGTCCTAACCAAGTAGATTTATTGTAGGCCACAGGGCTATCTGAAGCAAGTGGGTCCCATGCAGGGAATATCAGAACCACCACAAAAAAAAAATATGTATATATATATATATATGTATATATATATATATATATATGGCTTCTCTATCTCACAATACTGGTAGAATCTGTGAGATTCTGAGAATGAAGTCCATAAAACCCTTACTACGGGTATCGTATCAAGCTATTTCTGTGGTAACTATCCCCCAACAAAAAAAGTACCTAAAACAGACAAGTTGTGAGCCTCTGTGTACTCTTCAGTGATTTTTCTATTTCTTCCAAAATACATTCTATGGTTCAGAGCTTTATATTATAGGACAGAAATTGCTAAAGATTTTCTTTCCTGTGTTTAATCACTCCATGATTGTACCTTTAAAAATAATTCTACTTTTAACCAACTGCTTCCCCAAATGCCAAGGTCAACTGAATTCTATTTCTATTTTCCAAAGAGCTAGCCACCTAAAGTTGGTGTCACTGAGCAAAGACAGCCCTGGAACTCTGAGTTCCAGTACTAACTCTGTCAGTAGCTTTTAGATGGTCCTGAATAAATGATTACACTATCACCTTTAAGGGGAGGGTGATGATAAGATGAAGATGATGCTAATACTTTATAAGGTTACATGGGATTTTGCTTTAACCACTTCAAAGCATTTTCTAAAATATTAACTTGCTCATGCTTTTAACATATTAGTGAATAATATACTTCAGCCTAGATGAATAAACTGAAGTGCTAAAAAGTAAAATAGGACCGTAGTGTTCATAATATAATATTTATGATAAAGTAAAAAAAATAGAACATAGTATTATTTTTCAATACTAAACATTTTTTTAAATTACAATTTGTAGGGTACTATGAAAATTTATTTGGATAGGAAATGTTTTATAATTCACGGCTAAAGACAGTGAAGGATAAAACAAGCACATAAGCATGTTTCACAAATTCATGAAATACAGTGTGTTCCTCAGAGGAAGGAAAGGAATTGTATTTCAAGAGCTCATTTCATCATATGACCCTGCATCCTAGGCAAGAAACCTTTTTTTGGACCAGGCACAGGTTCAGAAGACGTTTAGCTGTGCAGCAGCTAGCATTTAAACCTGCAATAACTCCACCATCAGGAGCATCTCTGTTATTACAAACTATTAGTGGTAGTTCTTACTACAGACATTGAGGAATCATAGCAATGAGAGAATCTAGTAGTGTCAAGAGAAGAAAAAACAAAAACCAGTATTTTAAACAGAGAAGTTTTAGAAGTTCTTAGAGGGCCTTAGAAGTCAAGTTAGCTATCAGTTATGAAAAACCTACTCTCTAGACTAGTTACTGAGTTTCAAGACATTATATAATGAAATTAAAATTACATAAAAACATTGAAACTTTAGGTAAACACAGTTTTTCTTCAACGTTTAGATACTAGGTAATTATCATAAATCTTTTTCGGTATTTGGCGTATTTTTGGCTGACTTTTGGGTGAAATATGCTTGGATGACTGAAATTTATTTTTCTTTCTGTGTATGCCTGCCTGTGCATAGCTATACACTAAAGTACTCTGACTTAGAACCTGCCCAGATACCTACTATGGAAAGACTAGTAACAGGGAGATCTTGGCCCTGGCTTTTTGACTTTCAACAGAGTTCTATTAACCTATGAGGAAGCTGTATTTAGGAACCAAATATTCCAAGTGCTTAAAAAATTTCTGAGCCTATTCTGACTAAAGCTCTACCACGATGGCTATAAAGGATATAGGAAGTACCCCACACTGTAGAAAAGGAGTCAGGAATCACTTGGCTTAGAACCATCAGAATGATGATAGGAGCTTCTCCTGACCATCTTACAGCTATGTGGGCCCACAAATAACAGAGTTCCAACTTTCACCTTCAGAATAGAATGACTTAGCTTCTTATTCTGCTCCTCTAAGCCATGGAGACTTAATGTGATGTAAAACAAAAACAAACCTACAGATCCTGTATTACCTCATCACAAAATTATGTACAGCTAACCCTTGAACAATAGGAGGGCTAAATTGCATGAGTCCACTTATACATGGATTTTTTTTTTTCCTGCCTGTGCCACCCCCGGGACAGCAAGACCAACCCTCCTCTTCCACAGTCTACTTAATGTGAAAACAACAAGTATAAAAACTTTTATGATGATCCACTGCCACTTAATGAATAGCAAATACATTTTCTCTTATGATTTTCTTAACATTTTCTTTTCTTTAGCTTACCTTTATAATAATAATACAGTATATAATATACAAAATATGTGTTAATTGTTTATGTTAGCAGTAAGGCTTCTGGTCAACCATACGCTATTAGTATTTAAGTTTTTAGGGAATCAGAAGTTACATGCAGATTTTTTAGTGCATTGGAGGTCTGTACCCCTTACCCTGATACTGTTCAAGGGTCAACTGTATGTGAATTTGATAGGTTAGAATAATACCCAGCACACTGTGACCACTTAAAAAATGTTAAATGAATGAATCAATAAATATGAATGCTATGAAGAGGAAGGCTGGCAAACTCTTCTAATTCTTCTGAGGGAAAAAATGAACTTATGATACAGAATGAAGAACTTTGGTGCAAATCAGGAATTTACCTATGAATGGCTGTTAAATTTTATAAAGGATTTCCCAAAACTATGGAGGAGTCTGCATGAACTTTGGATGTTGATATGAAATACTCCCTACAGAAGGGAACAAGCAAGTGTGATAATTTCATCACATGTGTGATACAGCTGAACACTACTTTTTCCCATTCATTCAACTCTAAAGCAGAAATAACTTTCATCTGTATGGCACAAGACACTATTTAAGATACTTTAACATGTATTATTTTACTTGACCTTCAAATCATTATTCTCATTTATAGATTTTAAAAAATGACTCTCAGAAAAGTCAACCTGTTTTACACCTTAGGCTAGGTCTCTTATTCAAACACTTGGGCTTTAGAATTAGGCTTCTGACACCTAGCTCAGAGTTTCAGTTTAAAAAACAAAATTGTTCTGTATTTCTCCTAAAACCAAGGTATAATTTAGCCTCCGTTTAAAATCCAGTTCAAAAAGCTTAAATGAGTTTCTTAAACATTTCCTATGCATGAAAAAGACCATTTATAACGCATATACAAAATAACTGAAGGTGACAAAAACTCAAAATTATTACTTTACAAGCAATAAATGTTAAGAGAAGTGACACTTGCTGATATAACCATTTATAAAGAAAACCATTACCAATTTATGTTAGTGTACTGATATATTCATCGTAGATTATGAAAGCAGTAATTCTATTTTAAATATCAATAGTTTACTCTGTATACATAAAAAGAATGCTTTACTCCTTTGGACTGTTTAAGGTTGGAAGTTATTTTATAATTGATAAAGTAGGAAAACTGCCCATCCTTTTCTAGTATATAAATAAATATAGAATTAGATGTATTTTAGATTCCTCCTGTCAATTTTGCTGAAAGTCTAGCTTAATTTATCTTTTTATAACTAAAATGACGAACATCTTTAAAATAACCTAATGAAATGTTGAAAATTGGAGCTTTGGGTGATGGTTGTTTGATAGTACAACAGAACTAATTCCCAACTACATATTATCAAGCTGTTGAGCCTTGGATGGTTTACAACAGTATGACTTTTAAAATAATCTGCATCAGTTTGGTAAAGAAAATAAATCACTAATTTTTATTATGTAACTGTAAATCTCTACCCAAAAATTTCAAAATAAACCAGAGCCTTGAAAATAAATAAGGAACTTCTATATATGTAACCTCAATTCTTTCTTGAGCGCTGAAGAATATTCAAGTTTAAAAAGTGAACTTTTTCCCCCCAAAAGTACTCATTAAGCCTTACTGAACAAACATTTATTTTTAAATGTAATTAACTTCAACAAACATATATTAGTTTGTTTTTCTGAAATACTATTCACAGTCCTCCCATATAAGTTTTAATTTAACTACTCCTAACAATTTATCTATTGAGCTTACCACTGCAGGCCTGGGTATATTTATTATTTTAATATGGAGGTATTTTTAAACTTAAAAATACCTTTCTAACCATGCTGGGGAGAACTCAGTACTGAAAGGCATGAAATTACAACTGAATTCTTGGCTTTGTCTTGGACAAACTGTATTCTTGAATAGGTCACAAATTTCATGTTCCATTTACTGCACTGTGCACAGTTCCTCTGAAATAGACTACCTAGCACAGCACCCAGAATAGAGCAGACAATGAAGTATTAGTTGATTACCTATTAGAGATTATGTTTTGAGGCTGGGGTAAGAAGACCTGGCATTTGGCTTCACAAGACCCCAGTTTTCCTTAACAGTAATATGAAGAGACTGAACCACAGAAGACTTGCATTGTAGGTTGGCTTACCAGTGAAGCAGACTCCCAAACTGAAGATTAGCAAACAAGAAATTTATTGATGAGTACTCTGGGATGATCACCTGTGGGGACAGGGAAGCCTTGCCCTGAATTGGGTGGGCCTGGGCCTTTATAACTCTCATTAGCCAGTTACTGGATGCAGGTTACCCTGCATGACCTGGTAAGGGAACTCTCTTCAGCTGAGGTAAGGCCAGTCTCTGGGGGCCCAGTCACCGATACTCTTGGAAGATGGGGGACGAGTGCCCAGTCCTGAAGGAGGGATCTGGGCGATACACCAGGGTCCACTACTACCACCAGAATCCCTTCCAGTTCTATATTTCCTTTAGCTTCCAGGTACAATCAATCCTAAATTATCCTCAAAAACTGTGATAAAATAATACATGCTGTAGGATTCTATTTATATCAAGTTCAAGAACATGTAAGACTAATCTACATTGCTTGAGGTCAGAATAGCAGTTACTTTTGAGGAGCACTGACTTGGGAGGGTATGAGAGAACTTTCTGGGGTGCTGATAATGATCTGTATTTTGATCTGGGGCATATATATGTGTACAAATTCATTGTGCTCTGTGTGTGTGTGTGTGTGTGTGTATGTGTGTGTGGTTTTCCAAAGATTCCCAAAGATTTACAAGAATGGGGATTCAATAAAATAGTCCATTAATATTTTCTAAGATAAAAAAATGCCTGACATTGCAATGTGTAAATTGCAAACATAACTTTTTAAGCTTATATTTTTCCATTATTGTGATACTTTGGTAATTCTTTTATAATTTTGATGAGCAAAATTATTTTAACTATTTTATACTCCAGGCCATTTGAACGATGCAAAAATAAATGACAAAATTATAAACTTGCCTATTAAGTGGGTTTAAGTAATCAAATAAAGAAACAAGATAGAGTGACCAATGGACAAAGACTTGCAAAACTGCCACCTAGAACCAGAACTGCAATGAAAATTTGGATAAATCATACAGTTCATGTATAACATATTTATAAAGACTAAGTATAGTGCTGCCACCTAGCAGACAAAGCTGATTATAACCAACTTCAGCTCTGAAAGGTTATAAACATCTCGTAGAAAACACAGAAATGCCAAATTATCTCTTTTCTGATAATCTACAAAAAAAGCTTAAAGGCTATTTGCCAACAGCTAAAAAACATATCAAATACTTAAGTTCTACAACAAAAAATATAAATTCCAAAATAGCCACTGAGAACTTTAACAACACTACAAGTACTGAGGGGTTCAGAGGTTCCCTACTGCAAACTCCATTACGTTTTAAAAACAGACACTCTGTATGAGATCCAGGGCTACAGGTTCCCATATACAGTCTCTGGGTAGAAAGATGGGTAATGTCCAGTTGTACCTCCAGTCGCTCTTCCTCAAAATCTATCTGGAGGCTCAGAAAACTCTAAATAAAATAAATAAGCAAGACAGAGAAGCACATGGTGTGCTAGATAGAGGATTATGGATAGAGGTTTTAAGAGTGCACTTAATGATTCCTCCTTCAATGGAATCTGAGCATACAGATTCTAACAAGCAAGAGCCCCTAGTCCTCTATGTTCCAACAGCAAAAACCTCCCATTTAAACTTCATCACCCCCACAATTTTTCCAGCCTACATAGGACATCACCTACAGAGCCCCAAAGTAAAAGAGTGGGTGAATACAGATGGTCCCCAATTTACAACAATTCAACTTATGATTTTTTTGACTTTGCACTGGAGTGAAAGCAAAATGCATTCAATAGGAAGCAGTGGGATACTCCTGCAACGTTGGGCAGTGGAAGTGAGCCACAGCTCCCAGTTGGCCATACCATCATGAGGATAACCAACGGATACTCTACAGTGTACAGTGTTGCCAAATGATTTTGCCCAACTGTAGGCTAACAGAAATGTTCTAAGAATGTTTAAGGGAGGTTAGAGTAAGTTATGTGGTTTGGTAGGTCAATGTATTAAATGCATTTTCGACTTACAGTGGGTTTATTGGGATTTAACCCCATTGTAAGTCAAGGTGCATGTGGACCTAAGACCCTATCTTCAAAAAATGGAAAAAACACACACTGTGCCAACACTTCAACAACAGAATTGCTGAGGGAAGACCACAAAGAGCCTGGAGAATACATCACTGCTGGGGAGACTAGGCTACTAAACAGATGTCCAAAGACCAGAAAAAGAGATAGTAACAATATCTCAGGCCCATGCCATTTTTCCTGGACAATAGGCATGAACTCCTATCATTTTACGGCACCTGAACATTCTCACCTAAATAGGGTCTGTCAGCCTAAGCTCAAATGATGGATTACACATGGCCACTGGGTAAACGTCAATAGTTAAAGAGACCCTCACAATCACCCTGTCATTCACTGGCACACAGATACTATTACACAATCAAAGAGCCCAACACCCACATAGTAATAGTATAGCACAAAGGAACTAGTATAGAATCATATAATCATACACAACTGGGATACATGTAAATGAAGAGATCTAGGTTCTAGATGAGCTTTGCCATAAACTAGTTACCTGGGACAGGCAGTGTAGTATAATTGGTATTATGCAATTGAGTGTGCCAGGTACCAAACTCATGGGTTTATAGACATTGAAAGTACCTAACCAGCAGTTAGAAGAGTAAAGTTCTTGGACCCAATCTGCCCCTAATTAGCTAAGGTTTAAACCAAGTCAATTCACATCTCTAGAGCATAACTGCATTATCTGTATTGACTAGTGTGATATTTCCAAAGTGTGTTCCACAGAATAGAAAAAAAAAAAACACTGATATGCTTCTCAATACAACTGTTTCATAGTCAAGTAGGTATAGGTAAATATACCTACTATAAGTCACCGACCTTGAGATTTACAATGTGCTTTAGGAAAGGCTTTAAGAAGCGCTACAGTTACATATCCGTTTAGTTTTTTTGCTATATTTTTTCCAAGCCAATGGGCCACTAAGCCACCTGTTCCTCTAATAAATATCAACACTGCAAAACAGACTTTGCTGCCCTTCAAAAAATTAAATCTAGAGTTGCCATATGACACAGAAAGTCTACTTCTGGGTATATAACCAAAAGAATTGAAAGTGGGGACTCAAATAGATATTTGTACACCAATGTTCACAGCAACATTATTTACAACACCCAAAAGGTGCAAGCAACCCAAGTATCCATAGCTGGATGAAAGTGTAAATAAAATGTGGTATACACAATGAAGTATTATTCAGCCTTAAAAACAAAATTCTTACACATGCTACAACAAGGATGAACTTTGTAGATAGTATGCTAAGTGAAATAGGACAGACATGAACAAATATGATTTGTTCTTTCCAAATATATGATTCCACTTATATGAGGTACTTACAATAGTCAAATTCATGGAGACAAAGTAGAACAGTGGTTACTGGGGGATAGAGGGTAAAGGGAATTGGAATTTAGTGTTTAATGGGTACATAGTTGCATTTTGGGATGCTGAAAAATTCTGGAGATTGATAATGGTGATGGATGCATAAAAATGTGAATGTACTTAATGCCACTGCCACTGAAATGTACACTTAATAATGGTTAAAATGGGCCAGGTGTGGTGGTTCATGCCTGTAATTACAGCACTTTGGGATTCCATGGCAGGAAGATTGCTTGAGGCCAGAAGTTTGAGATCAGCCTGGGTAACATAGCAAGATCCGTCTCCACAAAAAATTTCAATAAAATAGCTGAGCATAGTGGTGCTCACCAGTAGTTATAGCTACTTGGGAGGCTGAGGCAGGAGGATGGCTTCAGCCCAGGAGTTTGAGGCTGCAGTGAGTTACGGTCATGGCACTGCACTCCAGCCTGAGTGACAGTGAGACCATCTCAAAAAGCGAAACCGAAATAAATAAATATGGTTAAAACAGTAAATTTTATGTTATACATGTTTTACTATAATAAATTTAAAAACATACTTCACCATATACTGAACTATTTCTCTTAATTCTAGTATTTTGTGATTATGAAATCACTACTATAACCAATATAAATTACCTTACCTCAGCTACACAACAAATTGATCCCAAGGCTTCTCCACGAAAACCGTAAGTTGTCAAGTTTTCAAGATCTTCATGACTACTTATTTTTGAGGTGTAGTACTTCACTGCCATTACAGGTGCATCAACAGCCTTGATACCCTCACCATTATCTCGTACCTCAATTTTATCAAATCCATAGTTTTCCTATAAAATGTTAAAAAACACAGTATATAAAAACATTAAGCTGTTATCACATTTAGAAGCAAAAAAAACCACAAAAGAAACAATTTTGCCATTTATTTACCTCATATGGAAGCATAACATTATGGAAATAAGAGTTTAAAATCGTTAGCTCTATTAACTCCTAGTTATGTTCCTAGCAAGTTCCTTATTTTCTTTGGGCTCAGATTCAATTGTAAAATAAGGAGGTCAGTCCTTTTAATTGTTTCACTATAATGAGCATTTATGATAATTTGTTTAAATTTGACTAAAACATTTTTTTCCAAATTATATATTCCTTTCATATATATAAGCTCCTAAAAGAAACAAAACAAAACACTATCACCAATAAAACAAATCTTTTCTAACAACCAAGACTCTAGCAATTATTATTCACAACCTGATTTTTAATACTTTTTCTCTTGTTGCTTTCATAAAAAACTTTAAATATTTACTACATAACTTTCTAAATTTCTTTCTGCAAATAATCACGTAACAGGAAACTGCTGAGAAATACCTAATTTGGCAATTCCAGTGACTTTTAATTCAAAAGTCAAGAAAAATTTTTTAAAAACTAAATTTATATTTTACTTTTACATTCTAATACTAAAAATATGCATACATAATAAAAACAAAATCTAAATTCCTATAGTGATCACTTTCTATGAATACCATATCCTAAATTTGGTAGGCAACTTCTATCATAAGACTGATTCCATGAAGCTTTATACATATGACTACAGATGCAAGTTACAAAGGGGAAAAAAAACTTCCTAAAATCATAATGACTATAGTATTTAAAATAATACATCAGGCCAGGCATGGTGGCTCATGCCTGTAATTCTAGCACCCTGGGAGGCTGAGGCAGGAGGATCATTTCAGCTCAAGACAGAATAGCCTGAGCAAAGAGTGACACCTCATCTCTACTAAAAATAGAAAAAAATTAGCCCAGTGTGGTGGCATACGCCTGTAGTCCCAGCTACTTGGGAGGGTGAGGCAGAAGAATGGCTTGAGCTAGGGTTGTTGTCATGAGCTAGGGTGATGTTAAGCTAGGGCGATGCCATGGCACTTTAGCCCGGCAACAGAGCAAGACTCTGTCTCAAAAAAAAAAACAAATAAATAAAACTGCTCTAAAAAAAGAAAAAAAAAAAACAATACCACATCTTTTTAATAACCTAAAATTGTATATTACTACAAATGTCAGTATTTTTTGAATAAATAAGATATACAAAGCATTGGAAGAAAACATCTAAGATTTAGTTCCTCAAATTCTCTCAATCTAAAATTAAGTTGACATTCTATGAATAATTTGCTTCATTTTATAGAAAAATCATTCAATACAGAAATGCAAATCTTGTGACATAAATAAGAACTCTAGGCATCTGAGTAAAATCAGAACATAAAGATCTGTTTAACTATTTAAAATTGTATTATCATGTTTAATAAATTATAAAAACATACCTAGTCAGGATACCTATTATTACATAAAACAACAAAACACTTGTGGTGTTTGCTTTAAAATTCTATAAAGCAGTTATCAGTCAGGTTAAAACGTTTTATTTAGTCTTATAGGAAGACTTCTGTTGATTTTGCAACACTATTTTACAAAACAATGTTTTACTTCCAGAGACTTATTAAGAACAAGATATACAGCTGCTTGTCTAAGATTCTTAGGGGAAATCTGTTGGACAGAACTATCTAAACCTATTCAATTATTACTAGTTGTACTCTGATCAGACTGAACTATAAGAAATGCCTAAAAAACATACATTGTCTTTCTTTGGGTTTACTTTTCAGGTTTATAAAGCTTAAAGTATATTATTTAAAAACAAAATACAGATTTGATATAGAAAAGCACTTATCAAAGTGTGTTCTCTAAGGTAGCAGCATCAGTTTTAATTAGAAACTTATTAGAAATGCACATTCTCAGGCCCAGCCTAGAATCCAAAGTTCTAGGAGTTGGGCCCAGTGACTGTTTTAACAAATGCTCTAAGTTATCTGTTGCAGCCAAACATTATGAGAACCACTGACATAGAGGAAAGGTCTTGAATGGGTTTTGCAGTCTGAGAGTCCTGGATTCTAAGCTCAGTACCACTACTTACTAATTATGGGGCTTTGGGCAAGTTCTCAGAACAATAACTATTTCTAAAATAGGTACAGTAGTAAAAACACAAAGTTTTTATAAGAAGTGCATGGTATTTTATTTATACATATAAATATTTATATGGAGAGAGAGATCTCACAGAATCTGATAGATAAGAAAAGTTTAGGTCCCTTTCCTACAAAGATATTCCAATCAGCATTACTCTAATTCCATAATACTAGAAATAATATAAATATCTGATAATTAGAAGACTTTAAAAAATATATTCTTATATTCAATCAAAAAAATTCGGCCCGCACGTGGCTCACGCTCTGTAATTCTAGCTTCTCTGGGAGCGACGTGGTAGATTGCTCGAGGTCAGGGGTTCAAAACCATCCTGGAAGCAAGAGCAAGACTGCTCTTAACTATAAATGAAGAATATTAATTGGCAAACTGATTATAGTAGAAAATACCGGGCATTAGGTGGTGAATGCCTTATGGTTTGCAGCTATCATGGGGCTAGCAGAGATGCTTGAGCCCAGATTTGGAGGTTCTGTATCTAGGCTGACACCATGGCACTCACTTAGCCTGGACAACAAGCGAGACTCTGGGTCTCAAAAAAAAAAAAAAAAAAATTAACACCTTCCTTAGTACTAAGTATGCCAGTATGGAGGACACAAAAATAAATAAAATATAGACCTTACATCTATGACTAGTCAATTTAGGAAGTAGAGAAACAGATATGCAATTAATCATAATTATAATTTATGCAAAATCATGATTGAGTGTTGTAAGTCATATTAACTAAAATGATTTAGCTGGGAACAGTAGCTCATGTCTATAATCCCAGTGATTCAGGAGGCTGAGGCAAGAGGAATGCTTGAGGCCAGGAATTCAAGACCAACCTGAACAACATAACTAAGACCCCATCTCTCAAAAATACTTTGGCTGCGCATAGTTTTACTCCCAACCTACTTGGAGCTTAAAGAAGAGCATGGCTGAGTCAGGAGTTCAAGGCTACAGTGAGCTATTATCACACCACTGCACTGCAGCCTAGGTGATAGAGTAAGACCCATACCTCTTGGGGGAAAAAAAAAAGATTTTGTACAAAACACTAAAATTTAAAAATGTGGAAACTATGAAGTAACAGAGAAATGGTTTAGAAATAAGATTAAGTGGAAAAAATAAAAATAGCAAGGAATATTTAAAACAAGTAAATATGGGCCGGGTGCGGTGGCTCACGCCTGTTAACCTAACACTCTGGAGGCTGAGAGGGCGGATTGCTTGAGGTCAGGTTCGAAACCACCTGAGCAAGAGCGAGACTCCATCTCTACTATAAATAGAAAGAAATTAATTGGCAACTAATATATATAGAAAAAATATTAGCCAGCATGGTGGCGCACCTGTAGTCCCAGCTACTCGGGAGGCTGAGGCAGCAGATGGTTGAGCCCAGGATTTTGAGGTGCCTGTGAGTTAGCTGATGCCACGGCACTCACTCTACTGGGCAACAAAGGAGACTCTGCTCAAAAAAATTAAAAAATAAAAACAAAATAAAACAAGTAAATATGAATAACCAAGGACAACCATTTGGAGTACATACAGACTTTAAACTATGTTTTAGGTGACGAAGTCCTAAAGAACATGTTTGCTTCCATAATTTTCTTTAGTTTTACTATAATGTTGATGTAAATTAAAATGTTTTTAACAATTTACTCTTAAGACAAATGGTCCAAGGTCCTAAGAATAATTTGCTGATATGCAGAAGAAAAACAAAGGTTTAAGGAGAAAACATCTGTCCAATCCTTTTTTGCTTTAAAAGTATTTGGCTTCTCAAGAATACTCACTAGTTTAACATCTATGCTTGTGGCACCAGCATCCAAGGAGTTTTCAATGAGCTCTTTTACAACACTGACCACTGAAGTGATGATCTGAGAACTTGAAAGGAGGCGGACTGTTGCTGCAGGCAACTGTTTCATTCTAGCTGTTAGCAGAATAACTAGAAGATAAAAATACAAGTTGTAAAAATAAGAATTGTTAAACAAATCCTGACTAACAGAACCAACAGCAATAATAATGATGTAATAATAGCTCATATTCCTTAAGCCTTACTGTACACCTGACTCTGCTCTAGATACAGTATCTAATCATTTATTTCTTACCAATACCCTTTGGAATAGGTGCCATTATCACCTTCATTTTATAAGACTGCGGCACAGAGAAGTTAGAAAATTTGTCCAAGGTCATCCAGTTATTAAGAGGCAGACCTAAGACTTAAATATAGGGAAGTCATTCAATATTTTCTTTGTTGATGTGTGATCTAATTATCTCTTACAAATAAAAATAACCAAAACTGATTTTTAAAGAAAGCCATAACAACATAAGAAGGAGAAAACTGGTTTTTTTTAAACCAGAACCAGAGCTTACAAACTCTTTTTCTAATTTCTCTCAGGGTTTTTGTTAGGCTTTAACTGCTATCTACAATTCTGAGTTTTCTCTGAAACTTCAATCCTGCATTTCCAACTGCCTGCTGAAATCACTACCTCAAACTCAAAATGTCAGCTCTCCCAACCCCATGACATTATTATCACCATAACCCATTCACCCTGACTCAAATCTTATCAACTCCTAAATCCCATCAATTCTTCTCTCAGTATCTCTCATATTTAGTTCCTCCTTTTTATCCTCCCCCCATTAACAGTTCAAGCTCTTAGTGTTATACATATAATTTCCTAATTAGCCTCCATGATTCTTGACCCTTGGTCACCCAGTCTATACCACCCATTAATTAAAATGATGATTACAACAAAAAGAACATTTATTAAATATCTAGTATGCTAGACACTGTGCTAAGCACTTCATATGTGAGATTGCATTTAAAACGTGAACCCAGGCCGGGCACGGTGGTTCCACGCCTGTAATCCTAGCTCTCTGGGAGGCTGAGGCAGGCGGATCATTTGAGTCCAGGAGTTCGAAACTAACCTGAGCAAAAGCGAGACCCCATCTCTACTATAAATAGGAAGAAATTAATTGGCCAACTAACATATATAGAAAAAAAAAATTAGCCGGGCATGGTGGCGCATGTCTATAGTCCCAGCTACTCGGGGAGGCTGAGGCAGGAGGATCGCTTGAGCCCAGGAGTTTGAGGTTGCTGTGAGCTAGCACTCACTCTAGCCTGGGCAACAAAGCGAGACTCTGTCTCAAAAAAAAAAACAAACAAACAACAACAAAAAAAAAACTTGAACCCATAAAAAGTAGTTACTATGGGTTGGGCACCATGGCTCACACCTATAATCCTAGCACTTTGGAAGGCCAAGGCAGGAGGGTCACTTGAAACTAGGAATTTAAGACCAGCCTGGGCAATATCAAGACCTTATCTTGGCCGGGCATTGTGGCTCACGCCTGTAATCCTAGCACTCTGGGAGGCCCAGGCGGGAGGATCGCTCAAGGTCAGGAGTTCAAGACCAGCCTGAGCAAGAGTAAGACACTGTCTCTACTAAAAACAGAAAGAAATTAGCTGGACAACTAAAACTATATAGAAAAAATTAGCTGGGCATGGTGGCACCTGCCTGTAGTCCCAGCTACTTGGGAGGCTGAGGCATGAGGATCGCTTGAGCCCAGGAGTTTGAGGTTGCTGTGAGCTAGCCTGACACCACAGCACTGTAGCCCAGGCAACAGAGCAAGACTCTATCTAAAACAAAACAAAACCTTATCTCTACAAAAAAAAATTAAAAATTAGCTAGGCATGAGTCCCAGCTACTCCAGAGGCTGAGGCAGGAGGATTGCATGAGGCCAGGAGCTGGAGGCTGCACTGAGCTATGATGATGTCACTGTACTATAGCCTGGGCAACAGAGAAAGACCCTATTTCAAAAACAAAACAAAAAAAGTAGGGACTATGAATAAAAATTATAATTTATAATTATTATGATCATTTAAAAGGTTAAAAAAACCTGAATGATGAAGTAACTGGGCCCAGGTACTTCTCATTAGAGATTTTTATCTCAGTCGTTATTTCCTTAAATGTCTGTGCCAACTATGTCTTTGTCCAAACTCATCACAGTAGATCACTAAAAGCATGCACATTAGAATCATGGAAACAAGCATGCTGTAAAAATATTTCTCAAAAACATTCAGTTGATAAATTACACTATGGTAATAACTGAATAATGATAAGAAACAGTAGTGCTATAATGACTGTAATGCATGATGTTAGGCAGGGAATGACCAGGAGGTGCTATCACCTTAGGATACAGATAATGACAGTCTCACTTAAGTGTCATTAGTCGTCCATATGTTTTGATGAATTATTATGTATTTTTCAATCATTGAGGTCTTCTGGAGTTAGAATATCTAGACCCTAGAATTAATGTTAATCTGAACTAGCCAGATACCAGACATGTCAGATAACTATCCTTTACATTCATTATTCTGCCTAAAACAACATTTTAATCATGTGGTTCCCTAATGCCAACAGATAAAGCTCAAATCTCTAAACTGGCACTCAAGGTCCTTTATATGCTAGATCCGACCTGTAGATCCAAAATCTCCAAGCAAATAATTATTTTAAGGCTGGAAAACTTTGTACAAACAAACAAATCTCAACTGGAAATTCCATATGTAAAACATGCAAGGAGTGGACCTGCATCTGCCTTAATGCCTAACTTCAGAAGGGATTACTAAAAATAAACACTAGCTTCACAACATGCAATTCTTCCCTACAGTGAAAATTTTCTTGGACAAAGAAATGGGGGCAGGGAGGACCCTAAGTACTTCCATTATTTACCATGACTAGTTATATGCTCACATGATGACTCAATCCTGTGGAATCTAGGTCCAGACAAAATAGCAATGCCCAAAACAAACAAAACCAAAAGGTGTCAAATTAGGATTCTCTCTCAAGCAACAGAAGACAAAGTCATGTAAAATAAGATTCAGCAATTAGTAGGAAATGGAGTATTGACATTGTAACAATTACGAAGGAACTTAAGGAACCCATTTCCGAGGTCAACATATTGCACTCTGAGAGTGTTAACTGGTCACAATTCATAAATATAGCATAATTATATTTTGCTATACATAAGGCAAAGCTGATTGGCACAGTGAAAAAGCATAACAGATCAGAGTCTATAAAACAGGTCTTGGGGTTCATCTTTATTACACATAAAATGAAGTAAATCACTCAATTCCTCTGTAAAATCAACTCTATCTGTAAAAATGGACTACTATATCACTGGTTTACTGTAAGGATCAAATAAAGTATATATAAAATGTTCTATAAATGGTAAAACTATAAAATGCACAGTACCATGATAAGAGATCATTATGTAAAAGAATGCTGAGAATTCTTTTTTAATACAGTTACCCTCTACCTATATATTTGATTTAGTTTGGGGATACCCAGTTTTAAAGAGAGTAGCTGTCAACCACTACCTTTCAATGGCTTTTGTGCCTCTCAAGGGCTGGCAGCCTTTCCTACTCCCAGTCAGGTAATGCTGTTCCACTGTCATAAAAGTCACACAAATTAGTGCTGTCACAAGCATAAGGTACCTTTCACAATCTTCTGAAGCTTCAGAAGGACCTCAGGCCTAAGGGCAGGGCTGGAGAAACTGTGGCCTCCTAGGTCCTTATGTGTGGCCTTTTAACTGAATCCAACTTTTACAAAACAAATTCATTTATTTTTATTAATATATTTTTGCTAGTCTTTTATAATTTTAAAATGAATGCATTTAAAATACCAAAGAATAAAATAAGTTTCAACAAAGTAATCCTTCCAGATTGACTGGCACATTAGACTCATTAGAACATTAGTATGCTGTAAGGGCTAACTTAGCAGTTGCTACACTCATGATTTAGTTGTAACTTCCCCCATCTGACTGGCATGACTACCACCTGAGGCTGCTTGGCGAGAGTTTATGGGGGTCAAGTACACCAGTCTGTTATCAGTTTTTGGACAATTATGCACTGTTTCTGTTTGAAATGGAATTTATGAATAGCTGCACAGCTCAACAGTATTTTTTTATTCTGTCTACTTAACAGCCCATCATGTCAAAGAAGATCAAGAGAATGCTGAAGGAAGAAAACAGATTATTTAATGAAGACTTGGAATTGCAATATTATCTTCTTTCTGTAAAGATAAGATGATCTGCTTGCTTCGTGATACTGAAATATCAACATTAAAGAAATTCAATGCTCATCGGCATTACAACACTCACAAGGACCACAAATATTTTAAATTAAAGGGAGAGGCATGAAAGATTATATTACAGAAATTAAAAGATAAAAAGCAAAAAAGCAGCAATAAGACCTGAAAATAAATGCCACTGAAGCAACTGCCTCTTTCAAGGAGAACATAACTGATTGGCAGCATGAATTAACACAACTTAACACAACTTTATGCAATACTTTGAAAGGAAAATATATACTATTCTATTGCTTTGGATGAATCAACTGATACTACTGACTCAGGGCAGTTTTTATACTTCATTCAGGTCATAATAGAAAATTTTCTTTGCTACAAAGAGTTACTCACTTTGGGCACTCTTGTGAACAGAACACGTATCTTTGACAACTTTCAAGATAAATGTCATGAAATTGGACAGAATTTGGTAAATTTAGTGACTGTATGTACAGATGGTGCAACTTCCATGATAGGAAAACATGAAGGGTTTATTGCACAGATTTAAAAAGAAGTATTAACAGATACAGATGCTCTCATTTCTTTTCATTGTACATAGTATCAGCAAAATCTGTGCTAGAGCTATTTTAAGTGATGCTTTGCAACAAGTTATAAGTACTGTTAACTATATTTGTGCAAATGCAACACAGCTTCCTCAGTTTTATAATATGCTAAAGTTGAGTGATGAAGTATGGATTTGCCATATCATTCTAAAAGTGCTTTGGCTGTTGCAGGAACAGGTGTTAGGCAAAATTTCATCTCTGTGAGAAAACAGTTAAATTTTATGAAGAACAGAATCAGCAATGTGAATTATTGAAAGAAGATTTCAACAGGAATATAGCATGTGTGTGTGAAATGTCAAATCAAAATGACTTGAACATTTCTTTGCAAGGTAAAACTAAGTCTATATACCATATGTGGCAAAAAATCCAAGCATTTTGAAAAAACCTATCTTTTCTCAAAATACTTCTTCAAAAGGCAATTTCAGACGAACATTTTCCCCAATGAGCAAAGGTCATTGATGAGCAGGACATATGTGCATCATTTGAAGAATACACAACTGTTATAGACCTATCAATTGTAAAATACAATGAAAGATTCATTGACTTTGAGAATCATGACATCACACTCAAATTAGCATTTCCTAGTTGATATCACCAAGGCACCTAAAGAACTACAGATGGGATTGATTGAGCTCTCAATAGATGACATTTTAAAGTCATTGTTTGATGCTAAGAAAGATACAATTGAAATATGAAAAAATGCTTCCTTGCTTTTCAACCACATGCTGCTGCCAATCTACACTCTCCTACCTAACCCAAATCAAGACGCCCTTAAGGTCACAAATGACTGAACCCTATCTAGAGGATCACCTGAAACTGCAAACCTCCATGCTGCAACCAAATATACAAATACTTTCCAACAAAAAGTAGACATAATGAAGACATTAAAAGGTTAACTTTAAAATTAACAAGTAGTTTTCATTTTCTGAAATTCTTAAGTACACAGTGGTTACAGTTTTACAAAATAATGTATATTTTTAAGTATATCTAATTGAAGTTTCTTAAATTTGGCCTTATTTGATAACAGCTAATTAATGCAGCCTTCCAACATGAAAAGGTTACCCACCTGTGCCTAAGGGTATAGATCTCCACTGTCCAATATGGTAGCCACTAGCCACATGTAGCCACTGAGCATGTGAAATGTGGGTAGTCCAAATTTAGATGTGCTAACACACACTGGATTTCAAACTCAGCATTAAAACATATAAAATCTTATTAATTTTTATATTGATTATAGGATAAAATGATATGTAATATTTGGGATAGATTAGGGAATATAAAATGCATTATTAAAATTAACCTTTTTTTACCTTTTTCAATATGACTACTAGAAAACTTAAAATTATATATGTGATTTATGTTACAATTCTATTGGACAGTGCTGGCTAGGGTAGTGGTTAAAAGAGCAGGCTCTGAAATCACACTACTTCAGTTTTATACTAGCTGTTACACTAATAGCTATGTAACACTGAAGAAATTAAACTCTAAAAATCACCTAATCTATGAATCTATGAATAGATTGAATCAATGAATCTATGAATCACCTAATCTATATCGTACAGTTGTGAATTTGGGGGGGGTCACAAACATTTAGACCATAGCAGTTAAGAGAGAAGAAACATGGTATGACACTGAAGGAAGAAGAGTATGGGAAGGGATGCAGACATTTTAGGAAATCAGAAGACACAGTGGGGTGGAGTCCATAAGGTACCACAGAGTTTATGCAATGAATTGCCATGATCTTAGTAAACTAGAAGGTTAAGAAATACGGAGATGAAATTAAAGATTTGAAAACAGAGATTTTGGAAGAGGCATCGTAGGGAATGAGGAATGAGACAAAGGTGATGATATTAGGAAGACTGCCCAGAAGGCTGAGGTGAGGCTAGGTTAATACCCCAACGTTTTGTCGATCAGTGTTTTTCTTAGATTGTTAGAATTCTCAAACTAAGGTAGAAGCATTTCATGAATTTTATTGAAGGGCCACTCAAAATAATTTTATCAGCACCTTTCTTGTGTCAATGTAAACTTTAGAAAAAGTGTCCTCCTTCCCAGCAAGTCACCACTGCCTTAACTCCTTTCCTTTACATACTTAATTTTAACTGGTCTCCATTTTATCCCCTAGTTCACCTGTGTCTCATAATTTTTACTGGACTCCAGGGCCTTATTTCCACCTATCTTCTAAATATCATCATTTAGATGACTGAAGACAACCTAAACTTAACATGCCCCAAATTGACTTCAGAATCTTTTTCTAATTAGCTTTCTTTTTTTGTACATGCACATTCTGCTTAATAATTAACTTTCTTCCTATATTTCTTGTTTGATAATATAAGTAACAGCTAACATAAGAACTTTGTATACATCATCCCATTTAATCCTCACAACAACCCTATGTATTACTATCATTCCTCTATCATAAATGGAATTTAAAGGCATGATAACTTGCTCAAGATCCTAAAACTATTAAGTGGCAGATGCATACCATGGCATGTCTGACTCCATGCCCTGAACACTTTCCACCCAAGCACACAAAGCAAAATTAGAAACCCTGAAGTCATCCTAGAAATTTTCCCCACTCATTATGCCACCCAGTTCTATCTATCTTACTACTGACATATTTCCTAAACTAGTCCTCTCTCCTCTTTGTGCTGCCTCTGCTCAGCCCCTCAATCTTTCTCCCCTGAACTACTGCAATAATTACCTAATTGATATTTTAACCTCAACCTCAACCACTTACATGGTTCTTTCTATAATTTAAGTTTCAGCATGTTGCTACCCTACTCAAAATTTTTGTAAAGGATTCCAACTGCTAACCAGATTAAGTCCTAACTCCCTAGCAACTGGATTTCTGCTTTTCTTTCAAATCTCATCCCATCATTCCCTAAACATGCACTAGGCCAGTCATACTATACAATTTGTTTCTCTTAATGTGGTGGTGCTCACTCCTCCCTTAGCTCACAAGGTTCTCTCTCTCGCCAGGCTGAATTCTAACCATCCTTTCACATCATCTCCTCAAGGAAACCTGCTCCAACCTCTTTCCCTTCAGCACCCAACTGATTAGGCATCCCTTCCACTGTATTCCCATAGCACCTTTTCCTTATTCCTAATCCAAAACTCATCACAGGTTATTCTATTTGTTTGTCTGTCCTTCTCAATCAGAGCTCTTTGAGGACAGGGGTTTTATATTAATCACACATCCATAACGTAACCCCTGGAATATAGCATTCTACTAAACATATACCAAACGACCTCTTTTGAAAAGTGAAGGGTGGATATCAGGCTTACAAGTCACAGCACAGAACGTCTGAGAAAGTTAGGATAGCCAGTCTTCCATTTTTGCTGAGAAGGAAATGGAACACTTCTGAAAGACTGCTGATGACCTGGAAAGTCAGTTAAGGACAACAGGTGCACCTAAAATATATATATATAATCAAAGAACTCGCAGACTTTAGGGAGAACACACACACAAAATAATTTATTTAAACAATAAATTAAATTAATTGTTTTCATAGAACAGAAATGCAAGATATATAAAGATGTATAAGAACATCCCCTTAAATCTGTTTCAAAATGTTGTTGAAAGTTATTTCAGCAATAAAAAAATCATAAACTTTGTGCACTGCCAAGGTAAAAGAAATTTCAAAGATGATTCCAAAAAATCTAATCAAGACTATTCTTCTCCATCCTCAAGTAAGATTTATGGAATCCATATTTCCTCATAACGTAATACAGATACGTGTCTTCCTCGTATGGATAAAACCAGAATGATACTAGCAAAAATCGTGATTAACTTAAGAGTTTACTTGCACCCTTTGTATGATGCCACAACATCCCATACTATAAAACGCCACACTCACAAGAAGAGTTACAGTTGTCATGGGTTAAGTTTTCTGCCTGGAAAACAAATCAGAAGTCGTTCACCCAGAAGGGTCTAAGGAACGGGCTGCAACAAAGGTCACACGGACCACTAAGAAGCCCTGACCTGCTCCGAGAACGCTGTCCACGTGAGCGCGCCCGCGAGCCCGCTCCGTCCGCTTCCTACTCTGTGCGGAGGCGCCCCTGGCGTCGGCGGCGCTCGTGCTCGGACCCGGGCAAATTTAGGGAAGTCCTCGAGCCCTTGAGAATGTAAGAATAAAAGCCCGTTAGCCACACGACACTACCTTCTTGCTCGCGCGACGCACGCAATGACCATCCAGTAGCGGCGAGCACCCAGCAGCCCACCTGGAGCCCAGGCCGAGTCTCACGGGCCTCCCAGCGCGCGCGCGCACAGCACAGCGGACACCGGGCGCGCGGCGCTTAGTCCCGCCTTGCCCGGGAGGAACGTGGGATTGGCGCTGCTCCCAGCCAATCCCCTGGCAGCGAGTTTGCCTCCGAAGGCTTCCGCAAGCGGCGCAGCGCTGGGGCGGACCATTGGCATTCGGGGCGTGGGGATACGCTGTCGTAGCCGCCGGGCTGGTCCTGCTCGGTGCCGGCGGCCGGGAGTGGGTCGGCGGGTAAGTGGACACAAACGCGGAGGGCACGAACACGGAAGGGTTGTACTGCTGCCTTAGTCGACAACGAGCTGCTGGCGCGCCAGGGTCGTTCTGAGGGGATACGGTGGGCTCGGGCTGCATCGGCGGCGCCCTGTCTGTCTGTGCGGGGCAAGTGGCCTCAGAGGCTCGCCCCCCAGTCCTCGTTGCGGTGCCACGGCCCTGGCGGGCTGTGCAGCTGGGCGAAGAAAGGGGCGGGTGGGGGAGGCGCTGCGGCGGTGGCAGCCCCGGTTTTTGCTGAGTTTCCACTGGCCCGGAGCTCGGGCTGCTGGGGGAGACTGTCCTAAGGGGGCCGGTGCGAGCCGCGGTCCACACAGGCACCGGCGAGGGCAGAGCCCAGAGCCTCTTCTCTGTCTGTGGAGTCACTATTTGCCGGAAGCGGCGCGGCAGACCTGCCTGGAGAAAGGTTTTCGGGTTGGAGGAGGACCTGTACCACACCAGCTTTGCCTTCCAGCCGAGATGTAAATTTTAGGCCTCTGTCGAACGTTTTTTCCCATCTCATGGAAAGTGGGAAGACTATCTTAAGTGGTGGCATGTTCTAGGTATAACTTGTAACAGTTAAAAATAATATGTGATAAACGATAGATGTTTACAGTAGAAGAAATATTCTTACGTGTAAATTTGAGACTTTTGATTCATCTTTCATCACCATAAGGCTTTATTCCTGTTCCAGAGATCCTTCGATGGTGAAGAGGACATTATATGCGGAAACCCCACGCGGATGGGGTTATGAGAAATTACTCTGTGCTCAGTCTGTAATGGAACAAATTAACATATTTTATATCAGAGCTGTTCCAAATATAATCTATCCCCGTTTCCCTCCTCCCCGGGATGATAGGTATTCTTTAACACAGTTTTGTTTTAAGGGATACTTAGACCCAAGTAAACACCATTATTAAAATAACTGGGAACTATTATCAGTTCTTCCTTTGGTGTTCATCTTGAATGTAAAAGGGGAAGAGAAAAACTTTTTTAAAAGAAAGAAAACTAAAGTTTTAGGGGAGTTAACTAGAGAAATATTCGGAAGACTCATTGCTTTAACCTAGTTGTATCACAAAATTGAGAAACATTATCCCTTGACCATGTAAATTTTACACCAGATTATGTCAGTGGCTTGTTCCTTGTTCCTCCCAGCGTCAGTATTCAAAAAAATGATTTGAACTGTGATCACTCTCTGCCTACAATATTAACTTAAAGAGTCTGGCTACTTGACTGACTGGCTGGGTCAGTTCTGCTTTTTTTTTTTTTTTTAATATTAGATGATTCTTCTGGTAAATTTAGCTCCGGGCTTGTCACTTTGCTCTCATGATATAAGAAAATATAGGTTTTCTCTTTCAGTTTTGAGTTTTCCTGTCCATTATTTCATTTAGTAAAACTAACATGCTAGAAGACAAGCTTTAGGAAAACGTTTTTAACTATCTTTTCAGAGAGAACTGTAAAAATAAGTCTCGTTTATCTTACCATAAAGTCAAAAGTTGGCCAGGTGTGGTGGCTCATGCCTGTAATCCTAGCACTCTGGGAGGCTGAGGCAGGAGGATCACTCAAGGTTAGGAGTTCAAAACCAGCCTGAGCAAGAGTGAGACCCTGTCTCTACTAAAAATAGAAAGAAATTAATTGGCCAACTAAACATATATAGAAAAAAAAAATTAGCCGGGCATGGTGGCGCAGGCCTGTAGTCCCAGCTACTGGGGAGGCTGAGGCAGGAGGATCGCTTGAGCCCAGGAGTTTGAGGTTGCTGTGAGCTAGGCTGACACCATGGCACTCTAGCCTGGGCAACAGAGTGAGACTCTGCCTCGAAAATTTTAAAAAAAGAGTCAAAAGTTGAGGATTCTTCATCAGCATCTGCAAGTAGCATATTTTGGTGGTGTATGTGTTCTATTTCAGAATAACTAGGAAAAAAATAATCCTCGTAACACTTTGTCATGTCAGAATTAGGGGTATTTGATTTGCCAGTTAATCAGTGTTGATTCATTTCATTACTTCCCTACAGAGCAAACATGAATGTTGGAGTTGCCCACAGTGAGGTGAATCCAAATACCCGTGTAATGAACAGCCGGGGTATGTGGCTGACATACGCGTTGGGAGTTGGCTTGCTTCATATTGTCTTACTCAGCATTCCCTTCTTCAGTGTTCCTGTTGCTTGGACCTTAACAAATATTATACATAATCTGGTAAGAATATCACCTATACTAAACACTTAAAAGCTTAAGACTTAATGGTTGCCAGAAGTGAAGGGATGGAGAGTTATTATTTAATGGTTACAGAGTTTCAGTTTTGCAAGATGAAAAAAGTTATGGACATGGATGGTAGTGGTGGTGGTTGCACAACAGTGTGAATGTACTCAATACTACTAAATTGTAAATTTAAAAATGGTTAATGGTAAATTTTATGATATATGTATGTTAAGGTTTTATGATATTAAAAACATGACTTTGTTTTAATAGCTTTATTTAGATGTGTAATTTACAACCTTGATATAAAAAAAAGAAAATAATGCAAAAATATTAAAAAGAAAGATCTAACTCACATACTATAAAATTCACCCATTTAAAGTGTATAGTTCAGTGGTTTTTAGTATAAAAGACTTATTTTGAGGAATTCTAGTCTGGGATATGATTTTATTTCTTCCATCACACTTTATTTCAACATTGGGCCTAAGTAAGACTTTTTTTCATTGTTATAAAATCTATAAAATACTACGTCATTTTAGTAAAAATTACAAGAAGTCTAATGAAAATCTTTGGTTTCAATCCTTGTTAAATCTTTCTAAATTGTATATGTATACTTTCTTATTTTAGTATAGAAATTTTGAGCTTAATCATCTTCTGTGATTCAGGATCTTATAGTGCTTTAGCTGCTTCTGGTTGACTATCACTCTCCTGTATTAGCTGTATTACATTAGCTTTACAAAGTATCAGAGGTTCCATTGACTCTATGGACCATATTATGCAGCCCTTGAAATTGCTTGTTACAAAAATAAAACACACAGCAATCCTGATAATGATTTTTTTTCCTTGTCTTTAATAGCATATTAAAAGTAGAATGAAAAGGGAGAAATCCAATTAGTTGAGAATTTTTTTTGTCCCTTGCCACATCTGTATGAAGATTTAAAATTTTAATTGAATCCAAAGTAACTATATTTGTTTAAAGATAACAAAAAAAAAGAACGTAGAGCATTAAGACAAAAAAATGTAGGAGAAATAGATTTTTAAAAATTAATACTTATATCTTCTGGAGTGTATTTGATGTTGGCTTGAGGACAAGGATGATGTGCTAGTGGAAATGATAAATAAATGTCCATTTAGTCCATTTTATATGATAGATTCTGTAAACAATGTATGTTTTTCACTAATGACTTCTCTGAAATACTTGACATTAAGCATCTCCCTTTTATTGAAAGTTTTCCTTTGGCCTCTATGGGATCATTTTCTCCTGGATACATTTCTGATCTTTCTTTCTCTTTCTTTCCTCTTGCAGGGTCTTCCTTCTCTTTTCCTCTCTTAAATTTTGCTGTCCCCAAGGTTCTTTTCTTCATCTCTATTTATGCTATATATTCTACCTAGGTCACTTCATCTACCCATATTTGCAGTTTCTACCTGTAGAATAAAGGTACTTGTATCTATAGCACAAGATTACCTTGTACCTTAAACCAGATAAGTATAAGTGGAACTCATCTTATTTCTGATCAGTTCCTTACCACCCACAGTGTGCTCCTCTGACTTCATTCCTAATCTTTTCTAAAGGCCAAGCGAGACAACTGTATGTCAGTGGTAAAGTGATTAATGTATAGGTTGAGCATCCCTAATCTGAAAACCCCAAATTAGAAATGCTCCAAAATTTTGGAATTTTTTGAGTACCAACACGGTGCCACAAGTGGAAAATTCTACACTTGACCTCATGTGATAGGTTGCAGTCAAAACTTTGTTTCATGCACAAAATTACTAAAAATATTGTATAAAATTACAGTCAGGCTATGTTTATAAGGTGTATATAAAACATAAATGAATTCTGTGTTTAGACTTGGGTCCCATCCCCAAGATATTTTATTATGTTGATGCAGATATTCCAAAATCTGAAAAAATGCAAAATCTGAAACACTTCTGGTCCTAAGCATTTCAGATAAAGGTTACTCAACCAGTAATGTAGAGTCCAAACTGAGACTGTTTTTTAAAGTAAAAGGTAGCTCCGATAATAATTACTCAAAGAGAATAGGTGTGAATCAGAACCATCCTATGAAAACTAGAATATATGTATGGTCACCCTAATCTTAGGGATAACTTCTCTTTTTCCTTTATACTCCATAGATCTATTTGGTCAAAGCACTGTTCTACTGTATTAATATCAACTTGGTTCCCATACCCTCATTTTTTTTCTTCACATGGATTATTCCAATAAATCAAATGGTCTTCTTGATGCTCCTCTACTCTACACTCCTCCATTCCAGCCTGGCAGAGTGATATTTTAAAAATGCATGTTTGCTCAATTCATGTGCTAAGTCCTTCAATGATTATTCATTGCATTCACTGTAAAATTCCAAGTTTTACAGCATATAAGACCAGTTGAAAATAGTGTAGAGGCAATAAAGGGACTCCATCTTATCTCAACCATCTCTAAACACAGTCAATGCTCTAGCCATAAAGAAAATCATTTTGCTCTCACCTTTTTATTTTGGCTTAAGCTTTTCTACTATTTTAATAACCCTCCCTCCCCCGCTCTGCCTGATTCCTACTTGCCCAGCAAAACTCTACTCAAGTATCACCTCCTTTAGGAATCTATACAACTCCCTTGCTACATTCTTTCATCATGTGTTTATCATTGTTTTATAATTAGCAATTTATCTTACTATTTTTTAATTTCTATATCTCTAAAAACATATCAAAAAGTCTGCTGAATAAATTAGTCTTTTCCCTTCTCCAGCGGCATATGTATTAAATGTATTTTAAAAGTCCTACCCTGCTTTGCAACCCCCCACGTTTTAAAGTTGGTTGACCCAAGATTGAGGCACAGTGTATTACCATAGACAAATTTATAGGTAATTGACACCATGCAGGAAAGCAAACTTTGAATTTATTATTATTTGATTTTTTTTCATTAGTTCACCACACTAAACGCCTAACTAATCAGCCATAGATGTAGCAATTATATGACTCCAAATTTGTTTCCTTTAAAGATAGCCTATGTTAAACCAATTAAAAATGTAAAATACATACCGAATGCTTTTCAATATTGGAAAACAGACCTAATTGTTAGACCTGGTTAGACAAATATACTATATTTGCCTTTTTGAACCATACAATAGAAACCTACAGTGACTTTTTTTTTTTTTTTTTTTTACTCATTGCTGCAGTTTACTCTTAGAGGTATTAATGTTTCACAAGATTCTTAGCTTAGCTTTAAAAATGAGTGAGAATGTTCTTCAATTTGCTTCAGTAAATATTTATTAAGGACTACCCATGAGGTACATACTTTCTTTTCCTAATTCTTTTGATGTGGGAATAATCATCTCTACATCACTAACATTTTTATATGGAGACTACTTAATAAACAATACTGGAGTAAAAGATATGGTCAAATAAGATTTTATTCTTTTTCACTGAAAAGGATATATAAAATAAACTGATTGAATATTATATTCTAAACACTAGTAAGTGCATGTGGTTTTGTGGTTTGAAAGAAATAGAGGATTCTTCTTTCTTTCTTTTTTTTTTTTTTTTTTTTTTTTTTTTTTTTTTGAGACAGAGTCTTACTCTGTTGCCCAGGCTAGAGTGCCGTGGCATCAGCCTAGCTCACAGCAACCTCAAACTCCTGGGCTCAAGCAGTCCTTCTGCCTCAGCCTCCCAAGTAGCTGGGACTACAGGCATATGCTACTATGTCCGAGTAATTTGGTGTGTGTATATGTGTATATATATTCAATATATATATTGAAAATGTTTATTTTCAATTTAATGGAAACGAATTAGCTGGGCAACTAAAAAAATATATATATAAAAAATATATATATATTAATATATATAATAATAATATATATTATTTTTTAGTTGCCCAGCTAATTTAATTTGGCTAATTTAGCTAATTTTAGTTGGGCAACTAAAAAAAAAATATATATATATTATTTTTTAGTTGCCCAGCTAATTTGTTTCCATTTTTTTTAGTAGAGATGTGATCTCATTCTTGCTCAGGCTCGTCTCAAACTCCTGAGCTCAAACGATCCTCCCACCTCGGCCTCCCAGAGTGCTAGGATTACAGGCATGAGCCACCATACCCAGCCATTCTTCTCTTAGATTCTAACACATATGTGGTCTAGAATAGAGGGTCTTAACTTTGAGGGATCATATGCTCCTGAGCATTTGAAAACATATACTTTCTGTTTCATAGTTCCCTTTAAAGCCTATGTGAAATGGTTTCCCGGGGTGCTTACAGAATAAACACTCCTTAGTTTAATGTCATCCTTCAACATACCTAGTACTTACTCTGTACCAGCCGTTATTCCTGAGGTATTTAGGCTAATGGAAAAACTAACATGCAAACAACTCTAACATAATATACTGCACTATAATAGTATTTTCAGTAAAATTCTATGCAACCACATAGGAGGCTAATTAAATTACTACTGAGGAGAGTTTCACTAAGGAATTGTCATTTGAGCTGAACCTTCAAGAATGAGATTGTTGACAGGGTGGTATCAAGGCTTTTGCCCCAGCAACAAAGAACCTTTCTCTCCTCTGCATTTGCTGAGTACTCTGATTATACCTTTGATAGCAATTTCTGCCCTACCTTCTAACTGTTTGTGAATATCTTTTTTTTTTCTTACCATCTCTTAGAGGATTGAATTTTTTTCAAGGTACTAGGTATATCTGTTTTTCAGTTTCATATGTGTATACATGTCCTGTGTCTTGTACATACCATCCATTTATTAAATGTTTCATGAGTTAAATCCAACTGACCATGAGTCCTTTCTTTCATAGCTTAGATATTGTAGCTCAATAACTTTTGAATTGGCTATTAATAATAACTAGGAAGTAGACTAAGCTTTGAAAGGAAGGGCTCTCTTAACTAAGTATAACATAAAATTTCAAGTCACTAATTGTTCTATTTTTCTTTATTATTATTAAAAGTTAAGGTAGAAAAAAATGACATTACATGGTGGCTTCTACAAGGAAAAACTGTTTCATGGTAATATTTAGGCTTTCTGCTGTTACCAGTACCTCAAACAGTGATCCTGAATGAAGTACTACCTATCAATCTAAATGGGCATCATAATCACAAGGAAACCAAATCTAATGTTTATTGTTTTTTTCCTAACCACAAAATTAGGTACTTAAACATACCATGTAACGAAATGGCTTTTAGTAATGTTTTTTACTTTTATTTTTAAAAACCGACTTCAGGAGAAACACTATTGTGGCACAATGGTGATTTTAAAAGTGAATTGAGTCAAATGTTACACCTATTATATCAGATTGTCTTTGTTGCTTTGGAATAGAACTATTGAGGCAAAGGCAATCTTAAATATTTAAAAACCGTTTTCCCTAATAGATTTTATTTATTTGATTATTTTGTTACCAGTTTATGTGTCTTTATCATTTTATAAGTATTATCAGATTTACTAATGACACTCTAGAGAAAAATTTCCTACACACTGGGGAGAAAGGTAGTCCTTTTCCCTAATGGGAAAGGTATTAGAAAATCTAAATGCAATGATGTGAAGTTACCCTGATGATACTGTTTGTTTATTTTCAGTTTAATGAAAAGAGATGAAAACAGGTTACTTGTGGTTGACCTTTTACTGATTTTCACCAAATATTTATATGCCCCAAAAAGCTTTATTTTGTCATAAAAAACTGACTACAGCCTTTCACTGTTATGTGAAAGCTTAAAACTTGAGCTCTTAAATCATACACTCTGTCACAAACAGCCTGCAACTACCTTAATGCTTAATGACAAAGACTAATTTTGTATTTGATATTGATTATATACCCCCTTGCTTGTTTTCCAGGGCATGTATGTATTTTTGCATGCAGTGAAAGGAACACCTTTTGAAACTCCAGACCAGGGTAAAGCAAGGCTCCTAACCCACTGGGAACAACTGGATTATGGAGTACAGTTTACATCTTCACGGAAGTTTTTCACAATTTCTCCAATAATTCTGTAAGTGGTAGAAATTCTTAGGTATGAAGAGGATTGGGTAAAAAGAAGATGTCCTTTTATCAGATTGAATTGGAATTAGAAATAATATTTTGTTGAAAACTTTTATCAATAAATAGCTACCTCAGGTAAAGTACAGGTACTTAGATAACAAACCAATTTTCACTTCAGTCACTGTATAAGGCGATGACATTTCATGCTCATCAGTGTGCCCAGACATTCTAGGATGTACAGGTCAGATATATTCCAGCTCCTGTCCTTAAGTTTCTTATAAGAAAACTAAACATAATCATATGCTGTATTGCACTATCAGATTAATCTCCCTAAATAATAGTTTAGATGATCAGAAGAATTTCATTGGCTAGCCAATCCTATTCAGATGTTCAGCTCCTTGAGAGGAAGAGTATGCTTTTGAAAAAGAGAGGTCAGGCTTTCATTATAGAACAGACCTGAGTTGAGTCTTGTATATATTATTCAGCCAGCTTGGTTTGCTTATATATAAAATTCTAGCTAATGATACCTATTTCAGTCCTGGTACTATAAAAAAATAAAGGAGATAATATCTATCTGTACAGCATCTAACCTTGTAACTGGTGTCTGATTTCCTCCTATTACTTGATATTCAGGATCCTCCAGAAAATGGTTCCTACCTCATTTTCCCTTTACATGAATATTTTATCCCCATCTAACTCCTACCAGATCAAGCTCTTCTAAGCAGCATTTCTTGAATGTTTCATTTGTAGTCCCACTTGTATGCCTTTGTTCAAATCATAGCTCCTACCTGAAATGCCTCTGCCTTTATTTTTTCCAGCTTTACTGAGGTATAATTGACAAATAAAAATTGTATATATACTTTGTTTTATTTCTCCAAAGAATTTATAAGTATATAGATTGTTTTGAATCCCACATGCAGTGCAGTGGCCTGCACATAGTAGATGTATTTCACATATATGTTAACATTCTGTACCACATAGCTCATACGTAATTTTTTTGTCCATGATAGAATCAGTACAGCCTTTATTAGCAGAGAAGAGTTCTTGGAGGTGTTGGAAATCCTTAAGCTAGAACTTAAGGGACAGTAGGTTTTGGATAGATATTTAAGTAAAGGAAGGTATTTTCAAGTGAAAGGAATAAACTAATGATAAAGTAATGGGCTTCTTTTTCCTTGTATTTATAGCACTTTGAAGAAATTTTGAATTGAGTTAGTCCCATATAAAATTAACCTCAAAGAAAATGTCTGTAGTCTAACAAAAATAAATGTGATAACAAAAAATATTGGCTATTCAGATGGCCCTAAGTTTAGTTTTTGGTTTAACTACTTTTAAGTTCTGTGAGTTTTGGCCATTTCTTAAAAGCCTCAGTTTTCTCATCTATAAAATGTTGATGATTGCATTATAATACATGAAAAGGCCTGACATTCTGAATTTTCAGTAAGCCATCAAAAAAGGTCAACTAAGATGTATGTGTATAAGGTCCATATTTCTCCAAATGTATTTTTGACCAACAGGTGTGATTTCAAATATTTTGATTAGATTCCCTATGTAATTGAAGAAACAGCTTTAAAGCCATCTATATAGCATTGATATGTTTCAAAGTACTTTCAGATTTTCTTATTTAATCATCATTTGTCAGGTTGAGACATGGAAAGTTATCCCAGATTTTTAGATAAAGAAACAGACTCATATACATTGTTTTGCTCAAGATCTTGCAGATAGCTGGAGTCAAGAGCCAAGATTAAACCCTAAGCTTTTATCTTCTAATACAGGTCTCTTCCCAATATATCCATTGGCAAATAAATGTATAAATGTTATCACTCTGATTCCCACTTGGGTTTTGCATACCATTGGAGGGTTGTCTAAGTTTTTGAAAGAGTCAAGTGATTTTCATATAATCTACACACACAATTTGTTTTTATTAAAAGACAAAATGGACATACAATATAGTAAGAACTCATTCTAAAATTTATTTCCAATTTATCAGTTTATATTTTAAACCTGTAATGGTGATGGGAAATCAAATGAGCTTATTACTAAGTGCAAGTAATATCCTATTTGTTCAGTAAAGGAAGTATGAAAACAGTCTTCAAGTATATGAAAGCAGGAAGAAGTTAAAGATTAAAGAATATGGTTTACTCAAGAAAGAATTTTCTGATCATAGTTTTGTGAAATAGGTGGAAGATTATAGAATTTCTTAATCTAGATTGTTATGAAAATGATACATACGGTTCTCTATGATGTTTTCAGTCATACTTTGAAAGTAGCTATTCTTTTATAACCATATTACACGAGATATTTATTTCCTTATGAGAAACTAATGACAGTAGTTAGAAGAAAGACTATAAGAATACTTTTCTTGTGTACTATGAAAGTTACTAAACACCCATATGGAAACTAATTTTAGTTATGACCAAGTAAGATATGTTTTCTTCTTTACATCCTATCTATATTAGGATATTCTTTGAGTAACCAGATAATATGTCTGCACTTTGATATACCCTTGGGTAAAACTGGGCATTCTGGACTTGGTGATTTATGGTTTTAAAGGTGGTTTAGGCTTGTTAAATTCTCAGATGCTGGATGTCTGAATACATACACGTACTTAGTAATAGCAAAACAGCTGGACTTTTACAACAGTCTCTTTCAAGTTACCAGTGAAACTGGTTTTAGACATGCTCAGCTACAGTATGAAAATGTGAACATTAAAAGGGCAACCAAGTATTTGTTTCTTTCAAAGATATGAACTGTACTTATACATTAAAAGTCCATTTTTCAAAGCTTTACAGTAGTAGTTCTTGTGAGTTACAAAACCCTTTGAGAATAAGATGGATGGATGCTTTGGATCCAGATCTTCTCTTCAGAAACATGCACAGAAATGCAAAACTACACCTGAAATTTCAGAGGGCATATGAACCCTAGTTTGAATGCCTTTTACTTTAAAAGATGCTAGGTAGCTAATGCTTTCTATTAAATGTATTTATATAATTACAGAAATGCTAAATGCATATCTCCATTAAACAGATTTTTAAATCCCAAATCAAGCTTGAGGCCAAACTGTTTCTTTTACTTTAATGCTCAAAAATGGTTTTACTTTTAGGTATTTAAGTTTCAGTGGCCTTTTTTTCTACCTTTAAAAATTTTTTAATTCTAAGTAATTTTATTTTTGGATGTTTTATGTATTTTTAACTTTTATCTCTGCAGATATTTTCTCGCAAGTTTCTATACGAAGTATGATACAACTCACTTCATCCTAAACACAGCTTCTCTCCTGAGTGTGCTAATTCCCAAAATGCCACAACTACATGGTGTTCGGATCTTTGGAATTAATAAGTATTGAAATGTTTTGAAACTGGACACAATTTTCTTATAGCTACTGAGTTTCCTATAAGGAAGGAATAGTTAGTAAACTGCACTGTTTCTGTGATAATGTGAAATGAGAGGTATTTACATTGGAGGGCCTGTTGGGTTCTTCATATGCTGTTTTGAGGTGCAGATTTCTATTAAAAGATGCCTCTGTTTAATGTATCTGGTATATTTCTGAAGAGAGGCTTTATAAGCAGGCTGGGCAGGCCCAGCTTATAAGTAAATGGCAACACAGTGAGGGTGTAGTAGATGAATTCAAGGAAATAAGAGATTTGTAAGAAACCAGGACCAGCTTAACTTATAATAAATGGCCATTATGTTAGGAAAAGAAAATTTCCAATCATTCAGTCACAGTCAGTTTAAGCAAACTTACATGTAAATCAGAATCATCTCTTTATAAGCTTATTAAAGATTGTTTTTATTACCATATGTACTCCTCTTGTTTTGCATAAGAGAAGATACACCCTTGTTTTATGCAAGCTAGTTCCTACTTATGAGTGGTACTTTTTGGTTTTGCTGGCTCAATATTGTGTGTTGATAGGTAAAGTCATTTTTATATTTATTACGTTATGGAGTTCATGAAGGTCCACCTTTGTGACTGATTGGTGATAGAAGATAGCCAGGTATCTCACAGGCAGCCTCTGAGTCAGCATTCTAATTTTGAGACAAAGTGGGTTTTACTGCTTTTCTAGACACAAGGCTGCTAGACCAATTAAGAAAATAATTCATTTCAAGCAGTTAAAGTATATGGTAATTTAAAGTGTCTGCTTATTTGGTTGAGCAATTTAATTGGTAAAGTCTGTCATTTTTTTAGAAAAGGAAATATAAAACGGACAACTGTATAGCCAGCCTGTGGTCTGGCAGAAGCTGTTTCTCTAGCAATAGTACCAAACTAAGTAATGGAGTCTTTTTTAGCAGGACTGTAGTAAAAGATAACATTCTCTTTTCTTAGTCTGCCTGCTCTCAACCCCCATATTTTGCCCTTAATATTTTGCTTTTAAATACATGAGTCTTAGTGTAGATAACCCAAAATGATAACTATTTCCAGAGCACCAACCATACTGAATTCTTGTGACTTAGGAAAGCTTCCTATCGTTGCTAACATTAATTGTAAGAAATAACTATATGCTACTTTGAGAAGTAAACATGTCAAAAAAACAAAGTTCTGATATGGAATGAAATTGAAATTGAATAATTCAGTAACATAAAATTGAGTGAAAAGAGTTATAGACCAACTTAAAAATCAGTTTGTGTCAATAAACTGACTTTTGGGGGTAATGATCATTGTTTTGTATTTCAAAAGTATTGAGTTTAGAAATCAGTTGTATGACACAGCCTTTGTATGTTTGTCTTTTCTCATGTATTTTTAAATAACCAGTAATCTATACTTTAATAAAATTTTTCCTTTGTGTAAGATTATTTCGAAAGTTCTCCAAATTCAGTCATTAAAATTACATTGACATTTTTCAAGTTTATTCTTAAGCAACTGAATTTGGTAACAAAATTAAGGTAACAAAAAATATTCCTTTGTTTTTCTTCATTTTAAAGTTTAATTATCTCAAAAGGCTTACATTCATTTTACATACCTCAGGATAGAAGTCTTCCTCTGTTACAGGCTTTCTTCCTCATTTTCCCTTCTTTCTCCTTTCAATGTTTTAAAAATATTACTCAATAGATATTTGAGAGCCAGCGCTGTTGTGGGTATTATTTTTGGTATATCCAAACAAGACAAACCAACTCCCTCCCCTTAGGTGCTTCCATTCTAGTTGGAGGACAAATAATAAATGAATAAACAAATACTTTTTATGTAGTGATAAATGCAATGGAAAAAAATTAAGCAGGGAAGTGAGCAGGGGAGCCTGCCTCAGACAGGTCTTCCTGAAGATCCTATCTGAGGTGACATTTAAACACAGACCTTGCTGATGTGAATGAGCAAGCAGCGCAAAGATCTTGGGAAAGAGCATTTCCAGTAGAGGTAATGACATATTAAGGCTCTTGGGCAGGAATGAGGCATGTTTGAGGAAGAAAAACACAGCTACTCAGGCTGGAAAGGAGTAAGCAAGGAGGAAGAGTATGGTAGCAAATGAGGTCCGAGAAGTAGATAGAGACCAGATCATAAAAGAGATTTATAGATCAAGGTAGCAAGCAGATTTTTTTCTAAGTGTGACAAATCCATTGGAGAGTTTTATGCAGGAGATTGATTAAAGGAACCTTACTTTTTTTTAAAGGTCACTGACTAATGTTGAGAATAAACTGTAAAGGAATAAAAAGCAGGAAGAAAATTGGGAAGCTACTGTAGGCAAGAAGCAAAACTAGGGAAGTTGCAAATAAAGTGGTGAGGAGTGGTCTGATTTGGGGTGTACTTTGCAAACAACTCCTATTTTTTGGCCGTACCACCTAGGTGAATGGTTGTGCTAAATGTAGAAACTGTAGTCATTTTCACAGGTTTGTACAGTTTTAAAAAAATGCTGTGGGGTTTTTTAAAAAACAAAATCTGACTATTATTTAGAACAAAATCAATTGTCATGCCATGATAGTTGCTGACTTCAAATCAAGAGACATACTTACAATTTTTAAGTAGTCATGAGCTCAAAAATGCCACTAATTTTAGCATTCTTTAGTGGATCTTTCCTGCAGCAATTAGTACTTTGTAGTTCTAATGATGATTTCCTTCATTCTTCTACATTTATTTATTGGAATCTTTTGTAAGGAAGATTTGTCCTTTTCCTCCTATTTATTTATTTATTCAATCACTTATATTATGGACTCATGGATATTTTATTCTTTCGGTTATCCTTTATCGTCATTTGTTGCTCAAATTGCCTTTCAGCTTTGACCATCAAGAGCTCTTTCAAGTTAGCTCCTGTGTCCTTTTGATGTGCCTCATCCTTTTTTTTTTTTAAAATTTTTATGGTATTATTAAACCATAAAGGTTCTAAGGGACTAACAGCCTTTCCTTAAATATCCGTGTGAATTATAGCTTTGTAAAGCTATATGATGCTAAGAATTAAAAAAGCCCTTGGGGACCATGTAAATTCAACTCCCAACCAGAGCTTGAATCTTTATATTAACCACCACCCTTCCATTCAATTCTGTTTTAATAATAATAGAGGAGGACTTATAATTTATAAAACACCATATTCCATTTTTGTAATGGAATTTATAATTTATATGAGTCAAAATGTAATCCTTATTCTATGTATCTCTGAACTATTTAAAGATATCAACAGCACTGAATAAACATTACTAGAGCCTTCACCTTTCCATATGACATGGTCTCAAATTTCTCCCACTATCCTGGTAATTCTCTAAATTTCAGTTTATTATTTATTATATAGCACTAGAGCCAAATATAAGAGGTAATAAGATATGCTGTGACTAGAACAGTACCATTTCCCCTTTTTTGAGATTGTTTTTGTTTTTTTTAATGTAGCCTAATATCACTTTAGCTATTTTGACAGCCATGTATCACTGATTGACTTTATGGTCACTAAAACCTCAAGTCTTCAACATATAGTACCATTAAATGATGACTTCCCCTTCATATATTAAGTTTTTGTTTGTTTGTTTGTTTCTTATTTTGAGAAGTAGGGTCTTGCACTGTTACCCAGGCTGGAGTGCAGTGGCTGGATCATAACTCACTGCAGCCTTGAACTCCTGACCTCAAGCAATCCTCCCACTTCAGCCTCCCAAGTAGCTAGGACTATAGGTGTATGCCATGACCAGCTCATACTTATTAAATGGATTTATTAAACCAAAGTCTGAGACTTCTTATTCTTCCTTTAGAACTCCTTCTTAGTTAGATTTGAGCCTATTGATTCATCTTGCTAAAGTTGAATCCTGATTGTCATGCAATGTTTCTCTTAAATTGTGTCTCCTATATTAATATATGTTGCCAGTAAGTGTGACCCCAAAATACCCTCATGCTGGTCATGAAGAAGACAAATGTAGCAACCTAGTATAGACCAGTGCAGTTCAATAGTCTAACAGCATAGATAGAAAAGAGTAATTCCCAAGATAATAACATGGATAGTATGTTGATGTGGGAAATGTGAATAGGTTCAGTACTGGGAAGACAGGTGTAGGCAAAACACCCTCAATGGAAGTTTGGAACAGTGTTGGGCAAGGAAAGAGAAGATGAGTAGGAGAATGGCAGAGAGAAACTCTCCTTCATTTTGTCTGGTGTCAAAAAGAAAAAAATGAGATGTTTCATTTTTATTTTACTCCCTAATTTCAGTTCCAGTTAAAAATAATTCAGCAGTTTGTTATATGTGGCTTAAAATTTTTCATTAGCTACAAATAGAGAAGAATTATTAAATTTAGAACACTGCATATCTTAAGAATACAGGACACAAGGAGCTTCAGCTGTATTGGGTGATGTTTTTGCTCTTAAGTCAGATGCTGGGCTCACAGAAGTTTATATTCTTGATACTTTTAAATCTGAAATATTTCATAATTAGAGAAATAGTAAAAATATATTTGGATTTTATGTTTGGCATAGTAGTGTAATTTATTTCATTCAAATTCCTGATAAAAAATGGTTATGGAAGTGACTTTCCTATATCTCTAAAGTTCTATATTATTTCCAGTTTAGCAGATAAGCCAAGCTTATCACTGTGGCTCTTCAGTCTAATTATATATGTTGATAAAAATAAATTCAAAGACGAGGGTTATAGTAAAGAAGTAAACCACATCAACACTGTAGAATGAACTCTTCAAAATACAAAATCTGAAAGGAATTTTGTATACAGATTTTTACTGATTTTCCAGTTATGCAGTTATAAATTCACAATCCTATCTTGAAAAACTTCCAGATTTTTCACATATTCTGTTTTTATGATGACTATATTATTAAAAAGATAAACATATTATTGTCTTCATTTTATAATTTTTAAAATGGGAACAGAGAAGTCAGATGATTTATTTGCTATTACCAGGAAAATATGGTGATCCTTTGAAACATTTGTCCCTCCTATGAATTCTCATCAAACTATATGCTTCTATCATGGCACTTAACAGTCAGTCATAGGGAGTATATGGGAACAACAAAGATTCACCTTCTCCCTTTCCTGCTAAACCCACAGATGTATCCCACATACTTGAAAAATAAGGAAATAAGACCCTGAGTATAGAGATTCCTCAAAAATCAAACTTATATGATCCAACAATTCCACTTCTGGGTATATATCCAAAAGAAGTGAAAGCAGGATCTTGGACAGATACTAATAGTTATACACCCATGTTCACAGCAGTATTATTCACATTAGCTAGAAGATGGAAGCAACCCAAGTATACATTGAAGGATGCATGGATAAACAAAATGTGGTATATACATACAGTGGAATATTATTCAGGTCTCAAAAGGAAGACTATTGAGGTACAGGTTACAACATGGATGAATTTTGAAGACATTATGATATGTGAATTAAGCCAGTCACAAAATGGCAAATACATGATCTCACATGAAGTAACCAGAGTAATTGATTCATAAAGACAAGTGGAATGGTGGTTGCCAGGGGCTGAGGCAGAGGAGGCAAGAGGGTTTATTGTCAGTGGGTACAGAATTTCAGTTTGGGAAGATGAAAACGTTCTGGAACTAGATGATAGTGGTATTTGCACAGCAATGTGAATGTACTTAGTGCTTTTGAACTTTAAAATGGTTAAAATGGCATATTTTGTTATGTGTGTTCTACCACAATAAGAAAACATCATCTAAAAGTTAAACATTCAGCAAACAAAAAGCAAAAACATCTTCCAAAGGTAAGATTTGATTGACAGTATTAACACTAATAAAAGAATGTTCTACACCAAAATACATAGCAAAAAAAATTTAAAATGAGAAAGGAAAAATGACAGTGTATTTAACATGAAAAATGTAAAACAGTGTGTGATTCAAGTGGAAAGGGAAGCATTAGGCTTGAAACATTAGCCATTAAGTAAAAGTACCAAACTCATTTCTATTGCCTCTATTCCATATTTACCAAGCAATCTTCTGATTATAATTTGGATTTGGCCTTCATTGTAATTTGACCAACATGAAGATAATGATCAGCACACTCAACTATCCTAGCCCCCCCCATTGTTGCATTTCTTGTAAATTATTACATTAGTATTGATTATTACCATGAATATGCATCATTTACATCACGTGTAAATGATTTACACATCACTTTAGCAATTTGTGGTGTGTGACTCAGTACCCCAGAAATCAAGTCACTTTTAGACCTGATAAACAAATTTCAAGCCTATAAAAGAATCATATGTTGAAACAAATAATCACACCATGGGCCTGCCAGATTATAGATACATCTGCGACAAGTCAGGCAGCCTTCCCCAAGCAGCTCCCTCTCTTCAGTGCACACTTTCCATTCATATTTCCATAATTCTGTACTGCCTATTGTCTTCTGCCACTAGACTCTAAGATCCTTGAGGACAGAGAATGGATCTTAATCTCTTAATCCACAACAATCAAGTTCTTAGCACAATCGAAAGAACCCAATAAATTGTGATAAACGAAAATGAAATCTAATAGGACATAGTTAGGAAATAAATATTGAAAATAAGATTCTTGAACATTTTTTCTGAAGGTTACAAATGGAAATTAAAATTATTGTTACACATAAATGCAGTTTTTGAAAAACATTAAGTTCCAACTAAAAAAATTCAACATTCTGGTAATTATGAATTTATCTGTATATATCCTTAGACTTACTTCCCAACATGTGATTTACTCATCTTTTATACCCAGAGCTTCACACCATGCAAAGCACAGCTATATATCCCAGTCCTGTCCAAACTTGGTTACTAAAACCTGAAAGTCTAGCAGGGGAGAATAAAGATTCTTAGATGAATCTATTCAAACAATGATGGTTAACCAATAAAAGAAAAAAGAAAAAGACTAAAGGAGGGGCAGGAATAAGACTACATACTATGCTGAAGGTTGCGTGCAGATAGGATTTTTTTTAAGGTAAGTGAATATTTACCACGGCTTCCTTTTTTTTTGTATTACAAAAATACAAAAATAAGGTAGCCCCAGTTTACGCTTCGTGAAGCGGAAGTAACTGTTTAGACTGTCCGACAGGAAGCACTTCCATTCTCTGGTACAGACTGTTAGGGGCGTTGCTTGTTTCCACCGTATTTGATGAAAGTAATGGGTATCGCAGCCTACACCTTTAGATTTGATGATAGTTCATAGTTCCCACAAAATGGAATGACGAACAGTCTACTCCATCCTTTTCTCACAGTGGCAACCAAATTCTAGCCAAAGGCAAAAAAACCTTTTTTTTTTTTAATGTAGCGTAGTGTTTGTAACGATCTGTGTAGTCAGACAAACCTGCATTTGGACTCCGCTGGATCAGTCACTAGCTGCGTGACCTTGTAGAAGTCTTTTTACCTACAAAGCTGGGAGAAATGGATGGGCGCACACTGCGTCTGGATCAAAGACACCTTTAAGCTTTTGTTTACTAAAAATGCCGCCCTCTGGGAATAGCAGCCGATCCCGCAGTAGGGGCACTGACAGTGTTGATGACATCACTTCCGGGGCGCCAGGTTCGGGCTTTCCAGTGCTGGAGGAAGGGCAGTCGCCTGTCCTAGGTAGGGTACGCAGGCGAGTACTAGTTACGTGCTGTTCGCGAGGAAGGTGGGTGAAATTGCTCACCTCTTTCCCCTTCTTGGACCGAAAGGGACTTGCTTAGCACAGTCTGCCTTACTCGGTTTTAGTTAATGCAAATCTATTTTCTCTCGGCTGCGTGTTCCTGGTGCCCCGCAGCTGCCCTCTGTGAATAGGTCGCTCATCTCTACCCTGGCTTCCCTGTGTCCCAGTTCCAGTATTATTTGCTCTTGTTTTGAACTCCCGATGTCCATTCGTGTGGTAGGGAAAGGACCTACATTAACATCCAGGAAATTTTAGGACGGACAGATTTGAGCAGCGGTTCCCAACCTTTTGACACCAGGGACTGGTTTCTTGGTGGACAGTTTTCCACGGAGGAGGGGGTGGTGGGTGCGGGGAGGCGGAACTCGGCAGTGATGCGCGGGGTGGGGAGCGGCTCTGAATACAGGTGAAACTTCGCTGGTCCGTCCGTTTCATGGAAGACTATTTTTCCATAGAGGGAGGAGGCGGCAGAACTCCGCGGCCGAGTCCCTAAAAGGGTGCAGACCAGTACCAGTCCTTGGTCCTGGGGTTGGGGACCACAGGGTTTGAGGGCATGAAATTAGGTACTTAAGTGTGAAAATACTAGGATGCCTTAGTAATGGACTGCCATTATTTTGGAGAAAAAAGGATTTGGGAAGAACTTTGTTATAAAATCTGCGGCAAAAAGTGGGGATTGTAATTAAGGATAATGTAGGTGTTAGGTTGCTGTTGTTTTCGTTGAAATAAGTTTCTTTTAAAATGAGCTTTATGAGAATACTAATGTGTCTGAACCAGAAGACTAAATTTGGTGTGTGTGTATGTGTCTATGAGAACTCTTGGTTTTGAACCAAATGATTACATTTTATATTGAAAGATGTTTTTAGGAAATAGAATGCATTAACTGTGTTTTTATCTGTTCCATTTGCCTTTGTTTTTCTAAAAAACATTTTGTCTTAATTTTAGCTATCAAAAAATAAATAGCACTTCTCAGAGAACTGTCCATGCAATTATCGTACTGTAATATTAGCTGTTTTATAAATAATAATAATAAGTTTGGTAAGAATGGCATGAAAGTAATAATACTAAAAATTGTATGTCTGATGCCTCTTTTCCCCCTTGCAGAGCATTATATTCATTTATACTATTATTTATAGTCCCATGTTGCTACAGCCTTTACAAAATTTTGGTAACTTTTACAAACTTTCCTATGATTCTATAAAACTGTTTATTGAAGTATAAACCAGACTTTCAGAATTTTGATCAATTGAATGGGTTAGTGGCTGATGTCAGTTCCAAATAATATGTTTGTTTCTGTAATTCTTTTCCAGAAATTACCTATAGAGTAAGTATGCTAATATTGAATAAGACAGCAGGAGTTTTTTCTAAACCATCAAAAAGGAAAGTTTATGAATTTTTAAGAAGTTTTAATATTTATCCTGGAACACTATTTCTTCATAAACTAGTATTGGGAATTGAAACCAGTTGTGATGATACAGCAGCTGCTGTGGTGGATGAAACTGGAAATGTATTGGGAGAAGCAATGCATTCCCAAACTGAAGTTCATTTAAAGTAAGTAGACATTATCTTATTTGTTTTTGCTTTTTTTTGGAAAAAGTAAAATGAAATAATTCTTCTGTAGTTAGCTTATATAAAAGTTAATTTTTAGAAGCTAATTTCTTATTCCTTTGTGCAAAAGCTTCTAATAATTGCTATAGAAAATCTCAAACACTTCATCCTGGCTTTTAAGGCTCTTCACAATAACGTCCCAACCTTAGCTAATCCTGTTGCCAAAAAGAAACTAAGCTTATTCCCAGTTTCAGTATTTCTTGATGATTTTCCTTCAGTAATGCTTTTTCTTCTTTTCTCCACTTGTATGTTTATTTATTTATTTATTTTTATTTTACTGGGGAGTTGTCTGGGCCTTACAATCCACTTGTATGTTTAATGGTCTCAACTGAAGCCCTAGGAAAACTGTGTTAATCGCTGAGAAAAAATCCTACCCACATTTATACATATAACTTGTGTTGATACTTAAAGAATAATACACTGTTGTATTAAGGCATAGACTGGTCTAACGATTATAAACTCAGATGTTTGCAGAGGACCACCAGGCAGGTTATATAAATAAATGGATAAGATACAAATTTAATTTAATTAAAGCCTGCTAACAGATGTAGCTTTACAATGAAGATGCTCACTTGCCACTTTAAAGCCTGCCACCTGTTGTGGCTTATCACTTGCCACGCCACTCATTGATAGGATTTTGATATGAGTCTGCAAGCAATTGATTTATTGTGGTCTCTGTGCAGTCAAACCTCTCTGCTACTGGTAATCTACATTTGCAGCCACTCCCCAGAGCTAGCATCACCGTCTCAGCTCCACCTCAGATCATCAGGCATCACATTCTCATAAGGAGCACACAACCTAGATCCCTTGGATACACAATTTACACCAGGGTTCATGCACCTATGAGAATCTAATGCTTCCACTGATCTTACAGGAAGCAGAGTTTATGCGGTTATGTGAGCAATTGGGGTTGGTGATAAAGACAGATGAAGCTTCACTGGCCTGTCCGCCACTGACCTCTTTCTGTGCTGCCCATTTCCTAACAGGCCACGGACCAGTACTGGTCCACAGTCCAGGGGTTGGGGACCAAAGCTTTTGTGTACTCTCTGGCAACACAACATAGGATGGACTCCAAGGATCAAAGGATGTAGCTAGGGAAGTACAATTAGAAAATTGTTGAATAGACTGAGATAATGAGGACTTTTTAAACTTGACAGTGGCAATGGGAGTGGTGATAAATGTAGAGAGTGAGAAAAAGAAAAGATGTAGAGGTGAACTTTGAAACCCAAGTGATGGCCAAGCGCAGTGGCTCATGCCTGTAATCTTAGCACTCTGGGAGGTGCAGGTGGGTGGATCGCTCAAGGGCAGGAGTTCAAAACCAGCCTGAGTAACAGTGAGACCCCTCTCTACTAAAAATAGAAAGAAATTAATTGGCCAACTAAAAATATATAGAAAACATTAGCTGGGCATGGTGGCACATGCCTGTAGTCCCAGCTACTTGAGAGGCTGAGGCAGAAGAATTGCTTGAGCCCAGGAGTTTGAGATTGCTGTGAACTAGACCAGTGCCATGACACTGTAGCCCAGGCAACAGAGTGAGACTCTATCTCAAAAAGAAAGAAAGAAAGAAAGAAACCCAAGTAATTATGAGGTTATTTGATGCCACTAACAGAGATGAAGAATAAGAGAAAAAGTAGCTTTGAAGAATTAAGGAAAATTGTATAACATGGATGTGTTGAAATAAGATAATTTCTTTTATAACTCCCTCATTGCCTGAAACAAAATGTATTTTAACTATTAAGCAAATATTCATCAAATGCACCTACTGAGGATTTTTATTTCTATGTGTAGCATTAGCAGGTCTTACAGCATCAAATATTTGAAGATGACTAGCATTGTCTTTTGCAGACCCTATTTTATTGCTCTGCTTTTCAGATCGTGTATTAGTTACATGCTAGCAAATTTGTTGCTAGCAAATTTGCCTCCTAATTCTTTACTCTTTACATTTAGAGTGTCTATCTACTACTATCCTACATAGACCAAAAATCGAAATTATTAACTCTGAACACCAGATTCCCAAACTTTATTTCAGGATTGCAAGCTATGTACTGTCCTGCTGTGACCTTAAGTGCAGTGTTTAAAAATAAACTCTTCTTTATAAAACTGTCTTCATGTTTCTCTCTGTTAGTATTTTCTTTTCTCCCAGTTATTCCAACTGAATATCTGGATCATCTTTGATGTTTTAGTTCCCCTGTCCTCTTATATCCAGTTAATTAGTTACTACAGTTTTCAAGGCTCCTCTGTCCTTTGTTTCCATTCCCACAATCACTGAAAGCTATAATCACTTTAAACAAATACCTTTGCAATAATCTCTTTAAAAATCTCCCTGTTTGCAGGGAGATTAATTTTCCTAAAATACAATTTTATGCTGTTCTTCTCTTCTTCAAGACTTCTTTAAAGTACTTTGTAAGACTATTTTGGTGATTTCATTCATCAACAAATAAATCCATGGGAGTTTGTTGTGCATGAATTTGAAAAGTCAGAAGCATTATTCCCTTAATCACTGCATATTGAGTTATAGTGTGCTACATTATAAGGCACACAATTTTGAAGCACACAAAATTTGAAAATGCTTGACTTGATATTTTTAGGTATATAATGATTAATTTGAAAACATGTCTTCAGCTATAACATATGTTATTTTTCTTCCTTTGTTTTGACAATCATAAAATTATAAAAAGATGTCTTTTTATTTCTTTCAGAACAGGTGGGATTATTCCTCCAGTTGCTCAACAGCTTCACAGAGAAAATATTCAACGAATAGTGCAAGAAGCTCTTTCTGTCAGTAGAATCTCTCCAAGTGAACTCTCAGCAATTGCAACTACCATAAAACCAGGACTTGCTTTAAGCCTGGGAGTAGGCTTATCATTTAGCTTACAGCTGGTAGACCAGTTAAAAAAGCCATTCATACCCATTCATCATATGGAGGCTCATGCACTTACTATTAGGTTGACCAATAAAGTAGAATTTCCTTTTTTAGTTCTTTTGATTTCTGGAGGTCACTGTCTATTGGCATTAGTTCGAGGAGTTTCAGATTTTCTGCTTCTTGGAAAATCTTTGGACATAGCACCAGGTGACATGCTTGACAAGGTAATTAAGAATTAATTTCTCCATTATTTTTTTATTATGGTTTCTGTTTCAGTTAAATAGCAATAGATGTGCTACTACCATTCATCTTAATATTTCTGAATGTTATCTTATTAGACTGAACAAATTTATGGTTAGAGAAAATGAAAATAGTATACCATTTTATAATTCTTTCTTACCCTTTCATGATAACTGGTAAGAGGTTTACATTAATATATAAAGGGTCAAATAGTTGGCAGATGCAGTTATGTATTTAGTCAAATAATATATGTGAAAGAAAATGTTTTGTAAACTATAATGTACTACAAAAATATAAATTAAGAGGATATATAAAGATTAATATAAGGACATTAAAGATGCACAAGGCTCTATGATTAAGTCGCACAATTGCTGACACCACAAACAAGTAGATTCCTTTCTGAATACAATGGAGCCTACTGCCATATACCAAAAAAATACAGGCCGGGCATGGTGGCTCATGCCTGTAACCCTAACACTCTGGGAGGCCCAGGCAGGTGGATCGTTCAAGGTTAGGAGTTTGAAACCAGCCTGACCAACAGTGAGACTCCTTCTCTACTAAAAATAGAAAGAAATTAATTGGCCAACTAAAAATATGTAGAAAAAATTGACCAGGCATGGTAGCACATGCCTGTAGTCCTAGCTACTCGGGAGGCTGAGACAGAAGGATTGCTTGAGCCCAGGAGTTTGAGGTTGCTGTGAGCTAGGCTGACCTGACAACCACAGCACTCTAGCCTAGGAAAGAGTGTGAGACTCTGTCTCAAAAAATAAATAAATAAATAAATACAGCTTCCAATTAATGAAATGATAGGAAGAAAGAATGGAGCAGATTCTTATTTTTGAAGTTTATCATTAGGCAGTCATCATCAATTTCAAACCTATTTTCTAATCCCAATAGAAGAGCAAAAGTAGACATGGGGGCAGCAATTGGCCACTATTGATTAGGTCACCATAAGGAGCAGGATTGTCTGGTTAAGTGATATTGGCTATAGTCGATATTTGTCAAAGTATAGCATGTTTTATTCATTCAGGGCGGTTTTTTTTAGTAATAATTTATTTCCTTTGTATCTTTTGGTTTCAAAGTGCATAATTTTATAACTTGTTTTAAAACATATTTTTGTTTTTGATAGGTAGCAAGAAGACTTTCTTTAATAAGACATCCAGAGTGCTCTACCATGAGTGGTGGGAAAGCTATAGAACATTTGGCCAAGCAAGGAAATAGATTTCATTTTGATATCAAACCTCCCATGCAACGTGCTAAAAATTGTGATTTTTCTTTTTCTGGACTTCAACATGTTATTGATAAAACAATAATGCAAAAGGAAAAAGAGGAAGGTATATTTCTAATAAGTAAAGTTGGGCAGATAAATATTCCTGGATTGTGCCTAAAAGTGCCTGCTCATTTCTGCAGGTATTGAGAAAGGGCAGATCTTGTCTTCAGCTGCAGACATTGCAGCTGCAGTACAGCACACAACAGCATGCCACCTTGCAAAAAGAACACATCGAGCTATTCTGTTTTGCAAGCAGAGAAACTTGTTATCTCAAAGTAATGCAGTACTGGTAAGTTTTATCATCTCATTTGATAGTAATAGTAACACTTTGTAGTATGTTACTTTTTCCCCAAAACATTATCTGACCTTGTGTTTAGGATGAACAGGTCTTTAGACAATATGAAATCATGCAGAATAGAAAAGACTAACAGCCATTTCTTGTACAGGTGTGGCAGCTTTATAGGACATCTGTATAGCTTGTGTGGCAAAAAAGTCCAAGACCACATCCTCTGGTTGAATTTAATAGAGAGTTTATAAAAAAGAAACTAAATGTAATAACTATCACTATTTTTAGAAAATTAGGTGGATTTCCTTCATCCTTTGATGAAATCCTTTTAATTGTGCTTAAAAGCCTTGATAAACTTCCTGTGTAACTGTATCTTAAGTTTTATTTTTTTGAAAATTTTAAGTGGGAAAATGTTTAAATGATGACACAATTCACAAAATAGAATTTTACATGAATATTAAAGACAACAGTTTTTTAAGAGTTATATAGTAAAATGAACAAATACTTGTAAGTAAAAACTGCAGGTTCTAGGCCAAGTGTGGTATCTCACTCCTGTAATCCTAGCACTTTGGGAGACTGAGGTGGGAGGATCACTTGAGGCCAGGAGTTCAAGACTATCCTGGGCAACATAGCAAGACCTCATCTCTATAAAAAAATAAGTTTCTAAAATACTGGTATACTATGATTTTAATTATATTAAATATTCAGAAAAAAGGTTGGAAGAAAATATACAAAAATGCTAGTAGTAATTGTATGTTGATATTAAAATTGTTGGTGATTTTTTCTTCTCTAAATTTTTATTAGATATATCACTTGCCTATTACCGACCTCAAAATGTGATAGTTTATTATTGTATAATGCTGATGTTTTCCCCCAGATTTAGTGAATAACTTGGTTAATATCCACATGCTATGGTTGTTGATTTTGATCTTATCAATTCCTTCAGGTCGTATCTGGAGGTGTTGCAAGTAACTTATATATCCGCAAAGCTCTGGAAATTGTAACAAATGCGACACAATGCACTTTGTTGTGTCCTCCTCCCAGACTGTGCACTGATAATGGCATTATGATTGCATGGTAAGCCACAGGATTTATGTGTTTCACTCATAATTATGTAAATATTAATTGCCATTTCATCATACTAAATCTGCCTTTAAATCTTGAAGCTATTGATTTTATTTTAATTATTCTTATTTAGGAACGGTATTGAAAGATTACGAGCTGGCTTGGGCATTTTACACAACATAGAAGGTGTCCGCTATGAACCAAAGTATGTGGTACCCTTCATTATCTTTATGCAAGTTACATTATAAAAGTCAAAACCTGGATTTTGCTTTTATATATGAGGTTTTCATTGACATTGTGGTGATACTTGAAGGAAAGTTACATTGATTTCTTTCATGAACCTAGTTGAAGTTGATACCTTGTAAGAAATATTTTTGCTACAGTATCAAATTAATTTTGACAAATCATAAGTGAGTTAGAAAGAGGCCACGGGTAGAAGGTGATGAATTCCATCCTCTGGGACCAGAATAGAAACCATGTCCATACCCTGGACTTTTGGAATGTCAAGGAGATACCAGGACCAGCTGATATGCTGGGAAATTTAAGGAAAACATGAAGAAAGCATTTTAGTGTGATAGTAGGTTGTGATTATGCTCCTACATGAGCAGCTAAGAATTGGCCAAAAGATAGCTGTTTCCTGTAAGCCTTATTTCCTCTCCCAAATCAAAGTTTCAAGGAATAGCACAGTTTTCCAATTTATTATTAAGTTCTGGTCTAAATTAATTCTGGACTACTAAAGGACAATTGTGTTTCATAGTCTAACATAACTCTATTTTGAACATTGTTTCATTTGATGTTTTAAAACTTGTCAGCATTATAGTCCATAACTATACACTTTGCCACATGAACCACAGACTATTAATGCTGATCATGAACAAACAGAGTTGAGTCAGTAATGTCAGAAGAAATTCCTTTGATAGCCTAGCTTCAAATAAGAGTATATATCATCTAATCCAGTTGTGCCCACTTGTGGCAGTGTTAAGGCTGAATAATAGCTTTTCCCAGGTTGGAGTGCAGTCAAAGCTTTATCTTGGGGAATAAGGTAGAAAAGCAGAAATCTAAAGCAAAAATTATTTACTGAAGAGGAACAGAAAAAGAATGTAGGAGCTATAACCTATCTGGCCAGTACTGGTGAAGGAAAGTAGGAAAGGGGCAAGCTAGCTTTTGAAACCTCAAGAAGACCTATAGAAGCCTGGGTAATTTCTAAAATGTGAATGGACACAGGTTTGATTTTAGCTGTGTGGTAAGAGTGTTTTTACCTTTTTAAGCTTATTAGAAAATTATAAGATATTTTTTGTTATTTTTTATTTCATTTTAAGTTTTTAACTTATAGTATATGAGAGCAGTAGAACTATTTCTTTCAAAAACATCTCAAAATTTAGATTTCTTATAAAACTAGCTTTCATTATCCTGGCCTGAGGTCCCACTATATTTGTATATATTTAAGAATTGTCACTATATATGATAAATTATAGATTAGATACTTACACCATTTGTCAGAATTCTAAGCAAATAGTCTGTAGAACTAGTGATGGATAATGAAGCAAATATTTGAAATAATATGATTTGTCTAATTGTGATGCAGATGTCCTCTTGGAGTAGATATATCAAAAGAAGTTGGAGAAGCTGCCATAAAAGTTCCACGATTAAAAATGAAGATATGATTTTTGCTTTTCATAAAATCCCTAAAGGTAGTATTAATGTTAAAATTAAGTTTTGATTTTTTTTGTGTATCAAATTGTGGAAGATATATAGTATTAATTATTCATCAAGACTGTCTTTTGTTATTTCTCTGCTTATGTTTGATGTTTAACCTACCACCTGCATTCTGAGATGCTATAATACGTTATAGTCTTACAAGGGAGCATAGTTTTTGTACTATCAAAAACCAAAGTAAAACATTTTGTGGTGAAAGGATGGACTGATGCTGGTGGCTAGAAAGAAAAACCTTGGAAGAAGTACAGTGATTCTGCTGAATACTGGCCCCATATCTTATAGGCCTAGATCTTTCTCCTCTTTCTCAAATCAGGATAGGAGAAGCTATTTTTTGACTCCTAGTGAAACAAGAGCATGACTTCTGTAATGATAGAGCAATTTTAGAAAGGTAGCCAAATCAGTGTTGTATCAAACCAGAGAATTCCAAACTAAAACAAAAGCTAACTTTCTATAACAAAATATATGTTATTAATTTTCAAATTTGTGTTATTAGGTATCCTCTCTGGAATAAATGGGATGTCTAGATATTTTTTAAGATCCATCTAATTTGAGATTTAAAAAATTTGACGTGAATAGTCCCTCAAGTATATATTGTACTCTTTAGTTTACCACATACATTCACATACATTACTTTATGAGTTGTATTTAATCAGATGAACATAAATGAAATGAAAAAGTAGGGAGCTTTTTGAATAATTTTTTTTAATCTGAAAGTTTTTACTGCAGATATCATAAATTTATCACTTTATTTCTGCCTAGATTAAAATAACTGAATGTACTGTCCTTTGAATATAAGGACGATGCTACTGATTGTTTAATGTCCTTTGAGAGATTTTACCAGCAAAGGTTTATATTACATCATCTACTGGACCAGGGTGTTAACTTTCTAATCAGTGACTTACATTATTGAGAAACTTGGGGTTAAGGATAAAAATATAGAATGGGAAACACTTCTTATTTTAATTCTACCTTAAGGTGATTTCCCTTTTGGGATGTTTCATTGGTAATTCTTTTTTAGGATTGTGGTCATAGAGTATTACTTTATGATCAGCCATTTTATCCTAGAAATAGAAATTGTATATGAGGGATCATATGGAAATAGTCAATATTTGTTAAGCTTTGCCTTTTTTTTTTTTTTTTTGAGACAGAGTCTTGCTCTATTACCGTGGGTAGAGTGTACTAGCATCATCATAGCTCACTTCAACTTCCAACTCCAGGGCTCAAGCGATCGTATTGTCTCAGCCTCCTGAGTAGCTGGGACTACAGGTGTGCACCATGAAGCCCAGCTAATTTTTCTAATTTTAGTAGAGACAGTGTCTCGCTCTTGCTCAGGCTGGTCTCAAACTTCTGAGCTCAAGTGATCCTCTTACCTTGGCCTCGCAGAATGCTAGGGTTACAGGCGTGAGCCTCCATACCTGGCCAGCTTTGCATTTTTAATGTTAAATTGCTATATAGGTTTGATAGAATTGGTTAGTACATATCATTTAAAAGAAACTATTAATATTAGATTGTGAATTCACATTTTACATTTGGATTTGCATTCTGTATCTGTGAATCTGAATTCACAGAGAAGTGGTGTAATTATTTCCTGTGGCTTTTATAATCAGTGTACATATAAACTATGGAAGAAAATTTATCAAAATTTTTCCCATTGTCACAAATATTATAAAATAGGGAGAGCTATGATCTAAGTTTTTAAAATTTCAAAGTGTAAAAATTGTTCCAGGTTTTATAATCACACATGTCAAAATTGAGTTGATGATATAAATAAGGGAACCTACAGATAAAGAAAATCAGCAAGTTCTAGAACCTTCCATACCTAGGCCTTTCAGTATTTAACCATAAGGTAGGTAAAAGGAAAGAAGGAAGGGAAGGGGGGGGAGAGAGAGAGAGTAAGAAGGTAAAGAAAAGTAAGGGAGAACACTGAACTCTATATTGGTAAACATATGTGCCAAAGTTATCTTAAAGTACACTAGGAGGCAGGTAAATTGTTGAAATCCTCTGTATCTTGAGGAACATTTTCAGAAGCTTAATATTAATATTTCCATTAATATGAATTCTTATCCTTAATGGTACTGAGTAAGTGACATAGTTTCTCATCATTTGAATTATATATCCCTTCCTTGTATAAAATATGCCATTTTCCCTTTGTATTTCCTATATTTTAGTCTATCCTACAGAAAGTTGTGACTCAAAGGAATAAAAATAATTTAGAATTAAATTTGAAAATTAAAGAGAACTCTTACTTTGCAGTGGTTAAGAACACAGGGTATGGACTGACAGAAAGTCTTAAGAACATGTAGTTACCATCATTACTGTTATGTTAAGGTATGTCAGGGAAAATAACTGTTAATACGTATGTTCAATGCTTACTGCAGTCCAGGTAGAGAATGGATTATAGCAAGACCCTCGGACTATATGGAGGCAATTGAGCAAAGTGGATGAAGAAAAAGCAGGGCTTTAAAGAACACAAAGGAACCTAGCTTACTTTTGTATAACATCTCTCTGCAGCTATAAACTAGGAGAAGCAGACATACACAAAAACTTGGAACATATTGAAAACAGTGTTCTTTGAGCAAAGACATCAATCATATGATTCTAAGCCATAAAGAATATTATCCATCCAGCTGTGAACCAAAGACATTCTCTATAAATATGGAAGGCTAGGTGTAGTGGCTCAGGCATGGTAACCCCAGCTACTTGGGAGGCTGAGGCAGGGGATCACTTGAGGCCAGGAGTTTGAGATCACCCTGGGTAACATAGCAAGACCCTATCTCTAAAATAATAAATAAATAGAAAGAAAGAGAAGAAAGAAGAAGGGAAAGGAAGAGGAAACAGGGAAAGGGAAAAGGGAAAGAGAAAGCGATAATACTTGTAGCCACATCTTTTAGCCATACTTATGTACTTTGATGGGCAATGATTTCAGATTTTATTTTTAAATAAAATATTATAAGGATACACAGTTCAGGTTTTGGAAGCCTCGTGCATTTGTAATATATATTATGAAATATCTTGAAGTATTACAGTGAGTGTTAACATGTGGGCCACTTTGAATCAGACCACTTTAGCTCAGCGTACCAACTTAAAAATGTTTCTAACTCTTGAGATACATACACATACGCACAAACACACACTAGTTATACCATACATGTCAGCTGATAAATTTTAGTAGGTTTACGTGCAGACATTGTATTACAGAAATCCTACTTTTTTTTGAAACCATAACTCTGACCTGATTAAACTCTAGTAGATATATAAAGGAAAATCTATTTAGGATCAATATCAAGAACTTCCATTCAAAAAGACTGAACATTTCCGTATATTTTACTATAATTAAAAGAAATTTTTAAAAGATTGCTCAGGACTAAAATGCTTTTATTAGCCTTCCGCAGGTTCTGAGTTGACTTTCTGTACATGCTTCCCAAGTTGGTCCAAACACACTATTCTTGGTCTTGATACATTTATGATATCCGATGTAATTGCAGATGAAAAAGAAAAAATATTTTGGGAGACCTTGGTCTTTTTCGTTACTCTGAAGCGTCCCATTAAGTTAGTTCTAGGAGGCAATAAAGTCAAAGAATCTCTTGGTTGAATTTTAGATTTTGATTTTCCTCGGTGTTCTTTCCCTAAAAATTAAAGAGCTGCAATTAAATATCTCTTAAGCCTAAGAGCCTAGGTATAGTCTCATTACTTCCAGTTCTGTATAGTTATATTTTATTTTCTTTTTGTTTTTGAGGTAGAGTCTCACTCTGTTGCCCTGGCTAGGGTGTAGTGGCATCCTCATAGCACACTACAACCTTACAACCTCAAAACTCCTGGGTTCAAGCAATCCTCCTGCCTCAGCCTCCCAAGTAGCTGGGACTACAGGCACATGCCGCTGTGCCCAGCTAACTTTTCTGTTTTTAGTACAGACGGTCTCGGTCTTGCTCAGGCTGGTCTCAAACTCCTGACCTCTAAGCGATCCTCTTGCCTTAGCCTCCCAGAGTGTTAGGATTACCAATATGAGCCACTGTGCCCGGCCTCTATATTCTTTACATAACTAAAACATAGTAAGAGAACAGATCAGTCAGAGACCAAAAATATATGGGGACCACTATGATTTGCTAACTTTGTATTATGTGCTAATAAAAGAACAAATGCTAACTACTTTAAACATCCTTTTGTAAAATAAAGGATATTTTAACACCAAAATAAAGTGTAAAGGGCATTATCTCAAAATGATGGACTTCATATTTAATGAAATTACTTTTATCACAAACTCACTATATTGTCCTTATTTTTTCTTACGTTACCATAAATCTGCAAAAACCTTATCAGACCATTACTGGTACACAGATCGTTGTTTAGAAACCAGTATTTAAGTGAAGAAGAGTGAGACTGAGTTTATTCTTTGATATAAATTACTTACATGAAAGAAGCTATACAAAAAATGGATATTCTTCTGTCCATGATATTCAGAAATACAGCCTCCCCATATAACTAACTTCCCTTAGGTGTTCCCTGAATAAATGAAGTTCTTTCCTCTCCTTTTACTGACTCACTATTCTCTCCCTTTCTATTTGTGACCCCAGCAAACTAATCTTTATTTCTGAATGGTTCTATCCTTGATTTTGATAACATACCAAGTAAGACCGATTTGGATCCTGCCCTAAGCATGTATGAACAAGCACAAAGCATATACATGAAATTAATAAGTTATTTTATTCCCCATTATATGTCTGATAGGAAGGGATAAGTAACATTATAAGATCTGGACCCTGATCTCTGCAGACCTAGTCCACTCAAATGTCATCTACCAAGTATGTACAAAACTGTACAGAGTATCAATGGAAACAATGTAGTCTTTGCCCTAAGAAGTTATAGGTAGACAAATTGTACAAGAAACAATAACAAGACCATAATTTAAGTTATACTTATGTTTTGTTTAATGTCATTTCTATGCTCATAGCTTGAGAAAAAGCAAAGAGAGATCTCTGTCAAATGATATTAGTAGGGAAGACCTTAAAAGAAATGATTAACATGGATTTGTAAATAGGAAGATATTTAGGTATA